ATGAGAGAGATAGGACGGTTTTCAGTTTCACTTAAATTAATTTGTTTTGGCTCAACGTTTATAGATACTTTTATTTTTCATTCTTGTTCTGTTTTAAAAGATGTGTTGAGTCAGGGGAACTAAAATAGTCTATAGCTATGTTTATACAGGATTCCTACTCAGTTTGGATAAGTATGGAAAAATTGCAAGACTATTGCCCCTTTTCAGTTTTCTAAAATATAAAATTAGGTATTTCTGAAAACTAAATGTATTATGCAAGCAGAGTCATGGCAAAAGTTGAGTGATCGTTTTGTGATTGTCGAACAACAAAATTAATTTAAGGCACGTTTTCATTGAGACATTGTTTGTCTCGAGCAAGTCTGTTTTGAACTTCATTAAACGAATATGTGTGTGGCACTCAAACCAGCAACAGATAAAGGAGCAAAGGATCATTTAAATCAGACTATACTTTGATGTTTGGTGATCAATATCACACTAATGTGTGTCAGATATGAATATGCAGGATATAAAATTTCACTGATGTTATCACTTTGAGAAAAAAAAAGAGAAAATCAAAATATTTACATGTGACTACTATATACCAAACATAATGCTGTATAAAACATTTGTTAATTGTGGTCTCAAAAAATATACAGATAGGTTTGGAAAAGTATGGAGTTTTGAAATGGAAAATGTGTAGGAATCCTGTTTGTTAGCTTTTTTTTACCGGTAGGCCCCTATACATTATTTCTGAATGTAATAACAAAATGCGATTTATATGCAACTTATGATTTTTTTTTTCTCTCTCTCAAAAACTACGTTTTGTGTGTCATATTTTTTTAACCATGTAGCAAATGTTTTCAAAATATCTTGAAAAATTACTTTTTAAACCTTTCTTACTGTCGGTTAACCAGTTAATTATGAGCATCCCTAAAATGTACAAAATCCTGACAAACATTAGATATTATTAATCAAATTGGTTCGTTTTTAATTGACCTTTTTTTATAATTTTGTAATAAGTATCTTATGCTCAACAAGGCTGCATTTATTTGATCAAAAATACAGCAAAATTGTCAGTATTGTGAAATTACACTATATATATATATATATATATATATATATATATATATATATATATATATATATATATATATTAAAATGTAGTAGCTGAAATTTCAGCATCATTGCTCCAGTCTCGCATGATCCTTCAGAAATCCTTCTAATATGCTGATTTGATGTTCAAGAAACATTTCTTGGTCTCATTTGCTGCTTAATTTATTTAAAAACAGCATTTTTTGAAATGGAAATATTTTTTTGCATTATAAATGTCTTTACTGTCACTTTTGATCAATTGAATACATCCTTGCTGAATAAAAGTGCTAATTTCTTTCCAAAAAAAAAAAACAAGTCACTTTTTTATGGTAGTGTATATCTAAATTAATTAGTTGAGGGGGAAAAAAATCTACTTATCTGTTGGAAAATTAGAAAAATTAGTCTAAAATTATGTTTTGTTTTTTGGTGGCAAAACTTGTTAGACTAATTCAATTTCTTCATGTAAATGGATATCTATGAATTGATGTTCAGTAAATTCCTCTTCCCATTAACCAACCCTAGTACGTTGGTTTTTGTGCAGCATAAACACCTATATTTGGACTTAACATCAGAGAGGTCTGTATAAGCTAGCTCATGCCATTTTAATGATCCAACCGTAACTTGTCATGTGTAGCTGGCACAACAGGCTCAGTTTGACTGCGCACCCTTTAATGCTAATAAAAATGTTTAAACCCATTCCGCTAAATATAGCTTGGGACAAATGTTCTTTGTGTGTATGTTGAATCAAAATGTAATGCTCAGGAAATTAACTAGAAATGTTCTTCCTGCTATTTCTTCCTCCCCCTCTACCTTCCACACCATCCTTTCCAAGGGCCCTGATCCCACAGATCCAGGCACTGAGACAGAGGAAAGTCTTGGAGCGACAGACTCCACCCAGCGCATGGCAGATTCTCAGAGCTGTAAGTCAGCGTGACTGTGACCTAACCATCTTTCTGAAAGGATCTTTTCCATGCAATTACATTGAATGGGATTGAGGCTTTCAACCTTTAGAAAGTCAGTTGTTGGTGTTTTAAAAGCGTCTTCACTTTTCCTTTCATCTATATGTGACGTCTCAGATGAAACGAGCACATTGGATATGTTTGATGCACCTGTCACCAGCTCTGCCCCTCGACCTCCACATTCACCCAGGAGACCTCAACATCCTCTGCCACCTCGACTTAACATCTTGGCCCAACCTGCTCAGGAGTTGGGACCTCCTGCTCAAGTCCAGGTGTGTGTAAAAGTGTGTACTGCATGGCATAGCCTGAGGAGTTTTTTATTTTTTTTTCATGGTTTGATGTTGTTAGGCATTGCCTCGAGTGTGCGTTGAAAAAAATAACTTGCATGTGTCTGCAGCGTCTCCCAGTTCGTCGGCAGTCAGTGGGACGAGGCCTTCAGCTTACCTCTGGAATGGCCAGTAGTGCAGTGAGTTGCCTTTTAGGACTTGGTTTGATTGTGTGGTTTGCACCTGAGCTTGAATGCTTGTCGTTAAATCCCAGTGTCATTGTTTTCCTCTGTTTCACATCAGCAGCATTTCTTTGAGGACGACGACAGGATGGTTCCCAGTACCCCCACACTCATTCCTCCGCGTTCGGATGGATTTGCTGAAGCAATCCAGTGCGTTTCCTTGTTTTTACACTTTGCTATGCTCGTTTGTTTCTTGCAACATGACTGATTTCTTTTCTGTTGTACAAAGTTCTCCACAGGTCGCAGGCGTATCACGATTCCGATTCGGTCCTTCAGATGACCTCCCGCAGACCAGCTCCTCTCACTCAGACCTTGTCCAGCTGCCCTCACAAGGTTGCATGCATTACCCTATGTTGTTGAATCTGAAAGACCTATTCAGTAACTGCTTTTTCTGTAAAATATTGGTTAGTTTTTTCATTGTGCCGTCTGTGTTTTGCCGGTTTAGGCATTTATGATAGTTCTGTTTTCCTTGGAGCTCATGAGGAGGAGTCAGGGGGCCGCAGTGTGCCCACAACCCCACTACAGATCGCTGCTCCTGGTATGTACAAAATCACGCATCCTTTTTTGGGTTCTTATGATATCTGCAGCATTGTGACTCTGTCATACTGTTTCATTGACAACTTCTCTTTAATTGAAATTAATGTTCAAAATAGGGGTTGACTGATATGGGTTTTTCGAACTGATGGTGATTTGTAGGAAACAAAGTATTCCCTTTACAATGATGATGTATACACTACCGGTCAGGGTTTTTTTCCCTCTTTTTTTTTTTTTTTAAAGAGATTGATACTTTTATTTAGCAAGGATGCATTAAATTGATCAAATGTGACCGTAAAGACATTTATAATGTTACAGAAAATGTTATTCTTATAAATAAATGCTTTTCTGTTGAACTTTCCATTTATCAAAGAATCCTGAAAGTATCACGGTTTTCACAACAATATTAAGCAGCAAGAGCACCAAATCAGCATGTTAGAATGATTTCTGAAGGATCATGTGACACTGAGGACTGGAGTAATGATGCTGAAAATTCAGCTTTGCCATCACAGGAATCAAAATGTTATTTTAAATTGTAATATTTCACAATATTATGTTATATTTATTTTTTTACTGTATTTGTGATAAAAAAAATGCAGCCATGGTAAGCATAAGAGACTTCTTTCAGAAACGTGTATATAAACATTTGAATATATATGCACACATAATAAAAATCTAAATGTAAGATCTCTTGGAAAATTCCTATTTGAAGAACAATCTGGAAAAGTGCAGGATTATGCAATGGCCACTTTTGCTGCACTTTCCAAAATTGATGACACGAGCCATTTCAAGATAATTTCAATATTCTTCTTTATCTTTTTAGACCTTATTCTCATTGCTGTACCACTTTATAATCGGTTAAATCATCTTTTTTTTTTATCTATTCAGTGACAATTTTATCAGAGACTGTGCCATCCGAAGCAAATGAGCTTGCTTCTCAGTCTGTGCCCACGGTGAGCACCTCCACACCAGGCCTCAGCGCTCCTGCAGGCACTAGTGGGATGGAGGAGAGAGACGACATGTTCATGGACGCAGGAGACAGGTGAGCGTGAGCCCTTAAATCTACCCGTGCAACACATTCATAACTTCCTTTCATTCTTGTGCCATAAGGAGTTCAGTAAGGAGAGATCATGGACTCCATAATTGTGTCTGAATAATGTTTCTACAGTACTGAAGCTTCACTTGAGGCTGTGTCACAGACTGAGGCAGAGGAACCAGCCCAGACATCAGATGAGTCTAGTCTGCCTTCCACAAGCCAGGAACCTTCATCTAGTTCTGCAGGTACACACAAGCACACTTCAAATTATGCAGAGCGCCTCAAATATCTCATTGCGGATTTACAAACTGTCTTTTTTCTCTTTCAGACACGAGCAGCTCTCAGCCTCCCAAAGCTAGAACAGGGTCTAGCAGACAATGGACTAGTGGGCGTGGTTCTAGGAGTTTTGTAAAGAGGGGTAAGAATATGTACCGTTTTTAGTTTCTCCAACTGCGGCAAATTATATTTTTATTTCTTCTCATTTTAACCTAGATGTATTAACACAGTAAGATTTACCATCATGTGTATTTGACGTCTTTCTTGCTGTAGGTGGACAAGGCGTCATGGGTGTGAGGGGCCGTTTTGCCAGGTGAAGCAAACTCCCAAAAGTCGCCGTTCTAGTTGTGGAGCGACACATTCTGAACTAATAGTTCCAAAAGAACACAGCCTGACATTTGTTCCACTTCAAGGATTCAGTCAAAGTATTATAGTTGTTGTTTGTTAGTTTAATGCTTTAGGCAATCCATCATTGTTTTTTTTATGATTTTACATCCGTACAATAAAATTGTTTTGAAGGAAATTCTTAGTGTGTCCTTAATTCTGTCACTGACGATGCAGCATTACCGTCAAAGGCTGTTTTCCACTGCACATAAGACGAGGGCATCACTAGAAATCTAAATTCACTGTTTATGGTATAGTTAAAGAGATGAATGACTCAGTTTTTCTGAGTTTCTTGGCATTTGAAGAAGCTGCTTGCTGAGTTTTCCTTTGGACCTGTAGCAGGTTTTAAGATCACTGGTTTTTCTCTTTCCATTTTTATGCTGTAATACTTTCCTGTGAAAGACAAGAACACAAATATGTAATAAACGCAGTGTTTTTGTTAAACTATTAAAACTTAATTTTTGGTAATTGAAATGAAGCTAAAATATGAAAAAACTGAACAATGAAAAATATTGAAATATTTCAACAACTTCAATTAATAAAAATATAATAAAAACAAATTAAAGCAATATAGAAATATTTTGTAAAAAAAAAAACTTAAATTCAAAATATAAAAAAAATACCATAATAGCTCATTAGATGTGACTGGAAACAGTGCTGGGACAGAGTCCAGTAACAGCTTTTCACTAGTTTTAATGAACGTTGTTACACTCACTTTGAGAGAATACATAATACTTGTACCCCTCTTTCACCCTAGAGGGTACGGACACGGCTGAGGTCACCCTGGTTGGGAATCCTTTCCAGTTCTTCGAGATATTGATCATTTGCCCCAGAGCTGCAGCTGGGGAAAAAACTCCTAAAATTAATTAAAACGCTCCAAGGTCTGTTTCACTTACATTTTTTAAGGTTACTTATCTGGTCCGTTAGGCCTCACTTGGAACAAAATGTCCTTTTTGAGGCTTTATTGGGGAAACTTCTGTTGCCAGAAGTAGTATATATGGTATTTTCACTTTTCATTAACTGCACAAATGCTTATACACATAAACCTTCCCTCTCCCTTTATGTCTAATTTGTTATTATTATATCATCTAAATGTGATTAGTCTTTTAAACGTCGTTGTAATGCTGTATGGACTAAAATGGTATTTTGTAATCAAACTTGTGATTCTTTACCGGCTTGTCGTCTGGCTCTCGTCCTCGCTGGGTACACAGGAATTCTTTTCCCACATTTTGGAGTAACCTGGTATGTGTACTTTTGAGCCAATCCACCTGCAGAAATCGATTTGAAAATCAACAACGACACTCACACCTAATAAAAACAAGCAGCCATAGTGTGCTTACAGCATGTACATGTAAATATTTTCTTCTAGTTCTTACCTCTTTTGAAGAAGATTACAGACTCTTTTCTGCTTCTGTACTCGGGTATAGATAAAGCAGCTGTGACACGACCAATCTGTCCGAAGCCCTGGCTGACAGGTTTGGGAAAGCCATGATCCATCATACCGTTGTCAAACCTCCAGTAGTCCTTTCCCTGTGAAATATGTGCAAACAGGATACATCAGTTGTTGTCATCCAGCATTTTATTTGACACCACTTCTATTATAATTATCTGTGGTGAAATGAAGTGTTTTGTCCTAATGTCTGTGTATGAACCTTGAAGAAGTAGGTTTTGCCCAGGCAGTTGCAGCGGGTGTAAACGGTGTCAATGGGAGACGGGATTCCCCACACCCTTGTAATTAACTGAGGAGGATCAGGATTTCTGTATTTGTCTAGTGTCCAAAAATAATGTCCTATAGAGAAGAAAGGGAAAGTGACACATTGATGTTCATGAACATTTGGTTCACTTTTCCCTACACTCTGGAACTTTCCATATAATTATAAAGGAATTACATTCCTCCTCAAACCGCCCCCCAATTCTACTCTGTGATACCCTTTAAAAGATCAATTTTTCGAACCAAAATAAGTGCTGCTATAAAGCAAATGTGCTGTACTGTGGTACTGACCTCTGAACACCACAATGGTACCATTTCTCAGTGTAGTCAGACCACTGACTGGACGCCCACTGCAGAGGTTAGTGTCATAATCATCTGGGGACAAAATTAATAAATTAATAATCAAAATGATGCAAAACATTATTTTTTTTAAACTTCGTAATATCTAGAATTCTAAATATTCATGATAGCATTAGAGTGTCAGCAGTGTTCATATGGAAACCATGAAGGCTCTTAGTGGGAACAAAATTTGCCACAATGAATATGAGGCACGAAAGATCTTACCAGCTTGATAATCTTTAATACCATCTGATTTGTCATTCTTGTGTGTACTAGGCTGAATGGTTCTTTTTGTTGGTTTCACTGGAGCAGGAGTAGATGTTGTCTTTGGGACTGAGGTAGCTCTAGAATCCTTGAGAGATGATGATTCCTTTGGATCTTCACCCAGTGACATCATAGTCATTTCAGTGACAGAATATCCCTTTGGTACTGCGCTTGCTGGACCATTTGATGGTATTGCGATTGTAGGACCTTCTGTTGGTGCTGCCCTTGTTGAACCATCTGTTGGTGCCGCGCTTGTAGGACCTTCTGTTGGTGCTGTGCTTGTTTGACTTTCTGTTGGTGCTGTGCTTGTTGGACCTTCTGTTGGTGCCGTGCTTGTTGGACCTTCTGTTGGTGCTGTGCTTGTTTGACTTTCTGTTGGTGCGGTGCTTGTTGGACCTTCTGTTGGTGCTGTGCTTGTAGGACCTTCTGTTGGACCTTCTGTTGGTGCTGTGCTTGTTGGACCTTCTGTTGGTGCTGTGCTTGTAGGACCTTCTGTTGGACCTTCTGTTGGTGCTGTGCTTGTTTGACTTTCTGTTGGTGCTGTGCTTGTTGGACCTTCTGTTGGTGCCGTGCTTGTTGGACCTTCTGTTGGTGCTGTGCTTGTTTGACTTTCTGTTGGTGCGGTGCTTGTTGGACCTTCTGTTGGTAGCATGCTTGTAGGACCTTCTGTTGGACCTTCTGTTGGTGCTGTGCTTGTTGGACCTTCTGTTGGTGCTGTGCTTGTAGGACCTTCTGTTGGTGCCGTGCTTGTTGGACCTTCTGTTGGTGCTGTGCTTGTTTGACTTTCTGTTGGTGCGGTGCTTGTTGGACCTTCTGTTGGTAGCATGCTTGTAGGACCTTCTGTTGGACCTTCTGGTGGTGCTGTGCTTGTTGGACCTTCTGTTGGTGCTGTGCTTGTAGGACCTTCTGTTGGACCTTCTGTTGGTGCTGTGCTTGTTGGACCTTCTGTTGGTGCTGTGCTTGTTGGACCTTCTGTTGGTAGCATGCTTGTAGGACCTTCTGTTGGACCTTCTGTTGGTGCTGTGCTTGTTGGACCTTCTGTTGGTGCGGTGCTTGTTGGACCTTCTGTTGGTAGCATGCTTGTAGGACCTTCTGTTGGTGCCGCACTTGTAGGATCTTTTGTTGGTGCTGTGCTTGTTGGGCCTTCTGTTGGTGCTGTGCTTGCAGTCTCTTGTGGCTGTGGTGTGCTGGAAGTTGTCATCTCAGATGGCTGTTGAGTGGTAGACTCTATAGGGTTCTCATCAGCATGGAGCATGCTGCTTGCATCTGCATCTGGAGAGGACAAAACTATTATTGTTATGGTAGAATCGAATTACTGTGGTCTTCAGCATGCACAGGAAAACCGCAACACCAGTGCCAATGTCAAACCCATAGTCAACCACAAAAGACATTTGCTGATGTGGCAAGCACCTGCTGTCGGGGTGAGAGACGGACTGGATGGGGGGAGGGATGAAGCCAAGGTCCTGCTGTTTGGTTCTGGAGAGGTCCTCTCATAGTCTGAGTGGAAAGTGCTGTTTTCCCCCACTTTCACTTCTATATCTGAATCTGCGTAAGGTGAAATTATCTCTGTTGGGACATCAGTTTGAGAAAATAATAAATAAATAATAATAAAATAAATGTTGTAATTATGAACATATCTTTGTCAGCATGTGCTGCTGTTTAAGGTTTCTTGCATATTTGACAAAAAACTTGTTTATGCCAGATTGTTAATGCTCACCAGGGCCCTCAGAAGGTGTGGACTCACTTTCATCCTCAGGGATCATTAACTCGTCTGCCTCAGCATAAGAAGACAATGTCATTTTATCGGAGTACAATGGCTTTGCCTCAGGTTGCAAGCATATATATATTTTTATAACTTATTATTATTCATGTGAATTGACTTGTAATTATTCTCAGAGGGGGAAAAAAGTGAATATTACTTTAAGCATTATCTTTTTTTCATCAGGAAAAATGTCAAAGTAACGTAGTTCAATACGTGCTCGACAGGGAAAAAGAAGAGAGAGAAAGCGAGACAAAGAGAAAAACTCACCTCCAATCCCTTCCTCATTGGTCATCTCCTCATTGGAGGATTCTAACAAAAAAAGAAGTCACAACTATACTTGAAGAGAACTATTACTACAAAAAATCAACAGCTGCGTGAAGCTAAGTATCAGTACACTTGATTTGTTTATTTGTGACAAAGCTGCAGTAATTATACCTGTAGATTTTTTATTCTTTATGTTTAGGCATAAGTTAGCAGTCCTTTGAGCTGCGGTGTCAGTGTTTCTTGACTTTAAGGCAGTATCTGTGAGAGTCACAGAGATATAAGCTTAAAATTAGGGCAAAATTAGACATGCAAACAGATAGATACATCTGCAATTCCAAATTTTTGTTGTTAGATATTTTAATAAATAAATACTGTTCAAATGTTTGGGGTCAGTATATATATATTTTTATTGATTGCAAAGGATGCATTCAAATGATCAAAAGTGACAGTAAAGACTTACATCGTTACAAAAGATTACTGTTGCAAATAAATGCTGTTCTTGAGAACTTTCTGAAAAAAAGTATCATAAGCAATATCTGTTTTCAACATTAAAAATGAGAAGAAATTTTCTTGAGCACCAAATCAGCATATTAGAATGTTTCTGAATGATCATGTGACATTGAAGACTTAGTAATGATGTAATAGTCAATAGATTAATAATAAGTTACATTTTATATATTAAATATATTAAAATAGAAAAGTTATTTGAAATTGTAATCATATTTCACAATATTTACTGTTTTACTGTATTTTTGATCAAATAAATGCAGCCTTGGTGAGCATAAGAGACTTCTTTAAAAAAAAAAACATTAAAAAAAACTTCCCAACCATAATCTATTGTAATATTAGGTATATTTTTTGCAATCAGTGCATGTTAGTCCCATCAAAATATACAATTAGTATTGATTGTTGAAAATGTATTTACATGTTGGGAGCATTATCAATTAATTTAGTTTAATTTTTTACCTTCCATCAAGCACATGCCCTCATAATCAGGGCAGCACTGACTGTATGGGACACAGTCGATATCACAGTGACATGGATTGCCTCTATTAAAAGGCTCCCCGCAGCGTCCTTTGCATGAGTCCTCTATGATCAGAAATAATAGCAAAGCAATCTTACAGTGTTTATGACATTCACACCAAATGCTACACCAAAACTAATGAAGTTAATATGAACCTTACTTGTAGTACACAAGTTTTGAAAGTCTGTACAGCACTCATTCAGGCCCAGACACTCATAGTCACACTGGCAGAAGCTTCCTCTGTAGTACCCTTCTCCACAACGACCCTCACAGCTATCTGGACATAGTTTGTTTTAAAGAAAATGCGGATTTTTACTTAGTTAGAAGTTGAACTCAATATGTTGAGCAACATATCTGTACATTTAGACACAGAGACAAACATAACGAGGGATGAGTTAATTATTTACAGTGTCAACAGAAATGACTGCATCACTACCCTGAGAGAAAAACAGCTCACTGTTATATTTACAGAATAAAATATGGCGAGATAGATAGATAGATAGATAGATAGATAGATAGATAGATAGATAGATAGATAGATAGATAGATAGATAGATAGATAGATAGATAGATAGATAGATAGATAGACATTATGTTGACTTACTTGGATTTGAAGAGCTTGTGGAGGCACATGCAAAGAGCAGCAGTAAGGACAGATATGTGGCCATCTCAGTTGTTCGCTGGAGTCATCACAGTCATCTAGAGACCCTCTGGTTTTTCACCTGCAGTGATCTTCACTTTTATATAGAGGCAGAATGCGTTGGTGTTCCCCTTTCTGTCCAATTATACAGTCAGTGCTGAATTAGTAATCGTCTAGTTTTCAAGGGTGCGGTGATTCACAAAGACAAACAGACTTTAACATCCCCCCTCACGGTGTGCGCCTGTCCGAAAAAAAAAAACATTTACAAAGTTCTCTGCCTGGGTGACACATCACAGGCTATTCAAATTTCAAAAGTTCAGTTGATGAGAAAAAAACATTCGTTATAAATATTTTAAGGACATTTCTGTCAGTATGATTTTCTGGGCTCAATCTCGTCGTCTCGCGCGCACAATTTTTTTTCTTTGGCTCCCCTACAAGCACCTAATCATAATATTAATGATAATAAATAACAACAACATTTTAAAATCAAATAATTTTTTCTTTTTGTTAGGGACCAGTGTGGAGTAAATTACTATAAAAAAAGTAATTAATAGAGTACTATAATTACATCTTCAACGGTGTAATTAATTACTTTCTCTCTACTATTGCATTATTATTACTAACACTTTCTAAATCCCATATCAACCTCGACCAGTTGAACAATATAAGGATAAACATGAAACTGCTCTTTTAATTCTTTCAAATAAATAATATAAATTTGCATAAATTGTTCTTAAACTGACCAAAGCATTTAAAGGGAAAAGGTTACATTATAAGGCACTTCAGTGGGCCTTTAAAACTCCAGTGAACCAAAGACAGTCTCAAAAAAATCGCTGGTGTTTCTGGCGTCACAAACTACCATGTAACCACCAATCACGTCAACGTGTGGTGACCACTGATCCACTGATCTATATAATGTCATTCTATATAGATCAGTGGCGATGACAACGAGTGGATCTCTGAGTTGGTGTGACTACGTGGAGTCGGGGCTAATTTGCATATTCAAAGGACCGCGATGAGGCAAGGTTGTAGTTACATTCAAGCTATGTTAAGAAAAAGTTTAAATATGTCATTTTGGTGATCAAATATGGGTTTTAAGGGATACAATTATGGACTACAGGGGGACTTTAAGTAATTATTGTCTAGTTTGGTCAACCTGCGTTATCTCACGGGTAAAGCATTGACTATATTTCGGTCACGGTGGATACGTATTGACTAAATATATACAGTGCACTTTAAAACACCTTCATGTCCAAGCGTGTGAAGCAAAAACAACATTAAATATTATTCATATTCCGGAAAATGCTGAGCTAAAAAAGCAATCTTAAAAAAATATATTCCCCTTTCGTTGCTGACAGTCACCCCTGTACAGCAAGATGGTTTCGTCCAAATCTATAACAGGAAGAGCCGGTGTTTACCGTTTGCGAACAGGAAGTTGTGCATCGTGCCAAAATCGATGCAGTCTGTCAAATCAACCGATTTGTTGCGGAGAAAATGAATTTAAAGTGTTTGTCCGCTGCGCAAAGATTTGGTCGAGGTTAATGGAAAGCAAACGCTGAGAGATTTTGCAATAATGGTGCATACTGGAAAGGAAAACTGGTTTTCCTAGGCAATTCGCTTCCTGTGAGGTGACACCGCCATACAGGTAGTCTACTCGCGGTACAGCTGTCATGTATAGGGTATAGATCGTTACACAAAATAAACACTTCTCCTGAATACCGAGTGACAATTAAAATGTGAACCGAATCTAATATGTGACGCTAAGAGCTTGTCCAGTGTGATTCTGTCAGTGTTGATGCAGTAAAAATGCCCTGTAATGAATTCCTGACATGACATTTTGTTCGTAAAACTTGCCTTATGCCAATTATTACTGTGATCACTTAGTCTGAATGTTATTTCCAGATTGTCATTGAAAGACAGGTAAGAGCTTTGAATAAGGATTGTAACGAACATTCTGCTACTTTTTGACATGTTGCATACTCTTTATTGCACGTCAGTCACTACTGTAGCCTGTTTCAATGGTCAGTGGTGTTTCATTAGGACATTGTCATCAGCATACATACGAAGGAGACATTTTGTCTTTTGTAGTACAGGTATTCATTATGTTTTTTCCCTGACAGTGAGATAGGCAGACCCTCTCAGTATAAGGATGGGTGCTGAGAGCAGTGCCCTGCCAAGCTGTGTGCTGGAAGAGCCGCTGATGACGCTGCCGTCTGGTCTTACCATGTACTCCGCCCTCCTCCAGGATGGCAAGCATGCCTCCGTCTTTGTGCATAAGCAAGACAATGAAGATAAAGTCAATAAAGCTGCCAAGGTATAAGTGAACAGCTAATAAGTAACCTCACCAATAACATGCATTATCTGTCAAAAGTTTGGGCACATCTGCTCACAAACACTTTAATATTAGTATTTTCCACATTGTAGAATAATAGTAAAGTCATCAAAACTATGAAATACAAATTGAATTGAACTATGGGAATTATGTAGTAGTCAAATTTGAATGTATAAATAATAAACAGTTAATTATGATATTATAAATTATTAATAACTCATGTATATATATATAATACAGCCTACCTCTAAATCACTCAGCTATTTTAGTTCCGGACATGTCATGTACATTGAAATGAATTAACCTGAGATAATACATCTTTCTTTGCAGCACTTGATGACATTAAGGCATCCATGTCTTCTTCGCTTCCTGTCATGCTCAGTGCAGGGTCACGGTATACATTTAGTGACAGAGCCAGTTGAACCATTAAAACGGCTGCTTGACAATCTTACTCCGGAGGAGATCTGCGCAGGCCTCTACGACCTGCTGCAAGCGCTAGTTTTTCTACATGATAGGGTAAGAGTCCATTTACATTTAATTTTTTTTCTTCAGACATTTTGTTGAGCAATGACATAATATGCACTAATTGTTCTAGCTAAATCTTTCCTTTTTGTCTCTTAGGGCAAATCAAGTCACAACAATGTGTGCATATCCTCAGTGTTTGTCAGTGAAGATGGCCATTGGAAGCTTGGGGGGATGGAAACCGTCTGCAAGTTTTCAGAGGCAACACCAGAGGTGACATCCGTTACTAATTTATGCCTTACACATACTTTAAAGGTACACTATGTAACTTTTGGCCCTCTCGTGGTAAACAACAACCATAATAATCCAAAAATAAGTATTTATGAGTGAGTCATTGAATCATTCATTCAAACTGATAAAAAAAAAAAAGAATTCATTAAAAATTAAACATTTTAAATAGACTGCAATTAACATTTGGTCAGAACCTCTAGTAAAATACATGTTATTTTGCTTAGTTGTGTTAGTGATCTCTGTTTGAACATCGTGAAAAAAATTCCCCAGAGGTTAAAAAAAAAATAGTTAAATAATTTTAATACCAAAATATATATATAAAGTTATAACAATATATAGATTTATATGATAGATATTATAAAGTTGATTACTCTAACCCTTTGTATGTGTGACTTCCTCTCCAGTTTCTCAGAAGTATCCAGAATGTAAGGGAAAATGGTGCCATTCCTCCCGAGGAAATGGTAGGTACCATGTATACCACCGTTCAAAAGTTTGGGGTCAGTAATATGTTGTTATGTAATATTACAAAATATTTCTATTTCAAATAAATGCTGTTCTTTTGAACTTCCAACAATGTACTAGTACAAATACAATGTAGCACAACTGTATTCAACATTGATAATAATAAGAAAATCCAATTCAGTAAATTAGAATGATTTCTGAAGGATCATGTGACACTGAAGACTTGGTGTAATGGCTGCTGATTTAGCTTTACCATCACAGGAATTATTTACATTTTAAAATATATTAAAATAGAAAACAGATATTTTAAATTGTTATAATATTTCATAATATTAATGTTTTACTGTATTTTTAATCAAATAAATCTATCCTTGTTAAGCAGAGAAGACTTCTTTCAAAAACATTTACCAACCCCAAATCTTTCATCATAATCATATTTGTTGCTGGAATTCACAAGGCCTGGGACAAATTACAGGCTGACGATGACAGCGCCGATCATTCTGACTAAGTAATATAATAATGTGTTTTTGTTTTGTTTTTTAGCTTGAAGGATTCAAAGTTCTTCCCGACAAGCATGCCCACTCCCGAGACGCTTTTTCATTCGGGGTGATGGTGGAGGCTTTTCTTCCACTCCTGACGGGACACGGTTAGTAACGCTCTTAATTCAACAGACGCATGTAAAGCAGGCTCGGTGTGTCTAGGATTCATCCTGTTGTGGCAGTTGCTAAGCCCTTACTGCTCAGACATTGAGACATATTTGTTAATGGACTGACAACTGCGATCAAAACGTCACAGGTTTTCCATTCAGAGCGGGTTATAATGTTTTCATGTTCAAAGAACAAAATGATCCACAAGAGCAATGTAATAGTGATGCAACATTTTGGCTTCTGTGCTGATTTTGGGGGCAGAGGCTCACTGAAAACATATGCGTGGCTGTCTGTGATATCTTTTTTTCTTTTTCTTATAGTGAGTCTCACTCACTAAATAGTTTTTCCATTCCCTCTTTCTTGCGTGTTTTTATTTATTTTTCCATGTCTGCTCCCCATCTTTGTAACCTCCATGTGGTCCTCCACCCAAACTTTCTGTCTCAGTCTCAGATGATTTGTTGGAGAGTCTAAAGAACATGCTGCAGGCCAGCCTATTGACCCCTGACCCCATGTCTCGCCCATCACTCAGCATTTTGCTGACTCACACTTTCTTCAGGTTCGCTTTTGAAAACTACTCTATTTAAATTAATAGTCTATTCGGGGTAAAGTGTCTTTTGAAATTAACTTCAATTTTAGCTGAAAATTCAGCTTTGCCATAACATGAATATATTACACTTTAAATTGTAGTATTTTCACTATTTTACTGTTTTTGCTGTATTTTTGATCAGACTAATGCAGAAAAATATTATTTAGTTTGGCTATAAAAAGTTAATTTCCCTAAATTGAAATATAATGATTAATAAGGTGATGAAATTATTTAAATACATCACCTATCTCTTATAGAAATGACTTCTTGGATATCATGAATTTTCTGAAGAGTTTGACTCTGAAAAATGAGGAGGAGAAGAATGAATTCTTCAAGTAAGCTTTCCACTCAAGTACATGATTTTATTAGAAGGATGACATGATGTGCTTAAATAACTGTTTCTCTGCAGGTTTCTCTTGGACCGAGTTCAGAACCTCCCAGAGATGTTAATTGCTACACGTCTGGCTCCTAAACTGCTCAATTCTTTAGTGTTTGCTGAGCCCATGGCTGTGAAAAGCTTTCTTCCTCACCTCCTACGGCCTAAGCAAGGTAAAACCAGCCAGTAAACTTTTAGGAGGTGCTTGCTTGTACTCTTCATTAGTCTCAGTGGTGATGTTTTCTGATGTACAGACTCGAGTGTGAGTGCTGGAGAGGAGTGTCTTCTGTCTTTGTCTTTGTATCGGAGATACGTGGTTCCTCAGCTCCTCAAGCTCTATAGGATGAATGAGGAACACGTCAGGATTGTGCTTCTCTCCCACATTCACATCTATGCAGAGTTTTTTCCTCATGAAGAACTCAAAAAACAGATTCTTCCTCAGGTACTTTGAGAATGTTTGTGCTTGTATCAACAGCTTAGTACTACTGTATACTTGTTTAGAGAAATATAAAATGAGTAAACTCATAATGTTTTTAAGTTGATATTTATACTTTGATTGTTTCAGTTATTTCCCACACTTTATCATGCAGGTTTTGCTGGGAATGAGGGATACAAATGACTCACTCGTCGCTCTGACACTACAGAGCTTGGCTGTGCTTGTCCCGTTGCTGGGTGCCCAAGTGGTTGTTGGTGGGGAGAGGACAAAAGTTTTTAAACGGACTACGCCAAACTTCCCCAAGTCCACAGAGGTCACCCCAGAGAGTAAGTATCCTGTAGCTGGATTCTCATTTATCAGTAAAAGTCTTCTTAATGGCTAATGTATTTATAAATCAAATTCAGATGCTCAGGTATGAAACACTTTTGATGGTACTAACATTATTTTCAGGCCACTGGAGGACGCTGCTGCATCAATTTCTACAAAATTATCTGTTTTTCTTTCCCTAAAAGAGGAGCTGAATGCATAAAGACATTTTTAATGTTACAAAAAAAAAAAAACCATACACTCATCTAACTTTTTCCTCTGCAGCATCGCCTGTGCATATTGTTGGGCCATTGCATCCCTATATCTCACAACCACCAAAAGTTCTGAATGTGTTCCCTAAGGGCTCAGAGGACAAAAAGGTTGTTACAGAAAATGTGTACTCCTTCCAAGCAACTGAAAAAAACACTACCCAGCGCACCATTGCAGAGAGAGCAGGTATGCCACAACTGACACTTACAGTTCTGAACTGCTTATTCTCTAGGAATAATTTGGATATTTGAAAAGAAAAGCTAAATTTATCTTGAATTAAATGTATTTGTCCCTACTTGGTGTTTGAATGTGCAACCCTTCTAAAACAAGTGGTCTCTCCAGCATTGAGCAGCGAGATGTCATTCCCTTTGAATGGGTACAAAATTGGCACACAGGCTGTGGACTGCATGAAAAGTAACGGAGCGGTGAGATCCGACGAAGACTGGCCTAACTGGAGTGACACAGAGGAGGCAGAGAAAGACAAGAGCCAATCAGTCCAGATCAGCATTCGGTCGGCAGACATCCCAGATCAGAGCAACTCTGCTATGCCAGCTGACAATGAGGATGAGAGCAAGGAACCCTGGGATGATTTCGAGGACTCAGAAGTGAGCTCAGGACAATCACCTTCCACTGCTTTACCAGTCTTTGTACCAAAGACATCAACAAAAAGCAGTGCGTCATCTCCCCCGAAGCAATCAAAAGCACTCAAACTGAACCTTAGTGTTAAAAGTGTTCCAGATCATAACCATACCTCATCATGGGACACCAGCTGGGACCAGGGAACTGACACCCTCAAAACAAGCTTGGCATTGGAGCCCAAGCCAAAAAGCACAATCAAAAGCCCTGAAGCTGGAAGTCTCGGGGAGGAGTTCACAATTGCGGTGAAGAAGAAGCCAGAGAAAGATCCAGAACTAGATTTTTTTGCAGACATGGTCCCAGATATAAAGCTGTCTTCCTCATCTTTTCTGCTCCCTGTGGAGAGCTCGGCTAGTGAACCCATCACGGGACACACAACATTAGACCCATCGATAGATAGACTAAGCCTCACTGCCAAGTTTGCTGCAGCTGACTTGACTGAAGTAAGTTCAGCTGTGTGACCAAGCTTTTATTTTGATAACTACAGTATGACGATGAATAACATTGAAGCGTGCGCTGAACTTTTGTTTTGTTTTCACAGACAGAGGCAGAAGGGTGGGGTGATGACCTCAACTGGGAAGATGAGAACACATGGTGATCAGCTTGGTCCTTTACACAAAGCCATATGAGAGATTCCCATACAAAAACAGTTACATATTCCATCATGACATTGTCACTAAAGACCAACCTTGACCACAACTTGACATAAAAATGTAGTAATTGAGAACTATAATTTAAGAGAGTAGTGTGTATTTTCAGATTCCCCCACCCAGTCCAATATGCTAATCATTCTATTGTCACCATAGAAATTGTTTGGCTACTGAAAAAGGTTCTGTGCCGTTTAGTTTTTTCAAGATAGCATGACGGACCGAAATATGCCAAATTCTATTAGGAATCCTTTAGTTATGTTGCACAGAAAAGGGGTACATAACGTGAAAATCCATTACTTCTAATGTTGGTTTTATTTGTGCCATACAGCTTTTTTTTATGTTCGATGAGCCTTAGAGGACAGACAGCCTCAACTTGAGAAAAAATATATAGACTCTAACTTGTTCACTAGATTTGGGTGAGAGCCTGACATAATTTATTTGTATTATCAGCTGCTGATTAAATAAAATGGTTTTATGGTATTTGACCTTCTTTGATTCCTTTGTACTGATGTGTTTTATGTTGACTATGAAATAATTTTTTTTTAAAGATCTGCCACTGACTTAAAGTTGACACTACACCGACAGACACCAACCAAAGCCAGCAGACATGTTTGTTGGATTTCAGATCGGAGTGTTAGCTCGTTGGTTGGCATTTGTTTTCAGTGACTGAACATGTTCAATCTGTTTGTGTAGGGTTATGGAATGTCTGGGCAGTATGGTATGATTTTTATGGTATCAACAAACTGATTTAATCTGGTGATTGTTGGTTTCTGTGCAGAGTGAACTTGCATTTAGAATGATTTACAATTCATAATTTAACTGGCAGCCATGATGTCATTGTAATTTTTAAATTCTGAATTGCAATTAGTCTTCTTTCTTGCATTTATTTCCCATATCTTTAAAGTCATCTATTTTGTAATTGCATATTATAGATCTTATTGTAAATGATTCATCCATGTTTCCTTTTTTTATTTTTAATAATGACTCATAACTTATTTAATTAGTTTAAACCCCACCCCTCTACAAGCACGCATTAATTTTCGAGTGCAACGGCCACATCTCAACAACAACCAACGTTACACTGATGCACGTTAAAACATGGAAGAAAAGATCTGACGCAACTTCTGTTTCATTGTAACTAACCCTTGTAACCATGTAACTGCCTTTACATTAAATGGTATGTTGATTTTCATGCACAACCAAAAGAAAAATGGCTGCTGAGCATCACAACAGCAGGCACTAGTATTTCTTAATTAGAATAATGGGATGGTGGCATTAATATGGTACATTCATGTCGAGTCAGAATCTCATAATTAAAATAATTCCAACATAGTGCTAAATGCACCATTAAATGGGGCACTTCAGACTTAAAGATGTGATGTAAATATCCATAAGAATAATATAAATACTAGAAGTTATTAAATCTACAAAACAATCAATTTTAATAAAGTTTAATAAACAATTAAATGGTCTTTTGGAGTGACCCTTCTCCATATAAACTTCTATACAAATATCTTAGGTGACATCAACTAATGTAGTGGTATGGAACAGACAAGCAAGTGTTGTGATAAAAGCAGCCAGAGGTAGAGGTGGTGTTGTGGTTGAATCAGGGCTGCTGTTCTGTAGAGGTGTTGATTTGAGTTATCAGTGTCTGTAAGACCTGAAGTCTGACCCTGACCCACACTGGAGGGGACGGGCTTAGGCCAGGCCCCTCTATAGCCTGCAGGGCTTTCAAGGCACTTTCTGCTGTCTGGAGGTATCGCTCATATTCCTCTTCTGTGTTGGTCTCCTGTCTTGCCTTTTTCAGACATGGCTGGAATATAATATAGAATTATATAATTAGTAAATGTTTTTCCCATCGGCATGTCAGGCAGAAAAGTAAGACATCCTTTCACTCACTCACCTCCACAGTAATTGGTGTGTGTTCAGGTGATCTGTTCTCACGCTCCATTTGCTCACAGTGTTTCTCTATTATACTCCTCCACTCCTTGAGACGTTCTAGTCTCAATTCCTCAGACTCCTGCAGTGAGACCGTCTATAGAAAGTAATACAATCTATATAAGGAACACAACAAGACAAAATTATACATTTAAAGTTTATGCATATCTCACTTGTTACCTTACTGAGGAAGTTTAACACTTTGGTTTTGACCTCCTCTGATGTCAGTGTTTGAGAAATCACTTCCTCGTGGTTGGTTATCTTAAAAGTTGAAAAAGAGACGTGAGCTGGATTACAAGTCACCGTAATACTAATATATATATATATATAGATACACACATAAAAAAATAAATGGATGAAATGTTAGGTTTTTCAACAAATAATTAAATATTAATAAATAAATAAAAGTTCTTGAGAGACTCGGTTTGTGTGTCATGTTTCAAAAATGTATCATTATACATTCACTTCTGATTTACTCAAATAAATTTAACAATTGAGGATACTGCTTGTTCTAATAATAAACTACTAGGTTAAAAATGGTTATATAATGGGAAATTTCTGACCTCTGCAAAGAGGCCAAAGGCCTCCAGGACATGATGGAGTATCAGCCAGGATGAGTGAGTCAGGAGACCATTAAACAGAGCACTGATTCTGGGCAAAACTTGGCACTGCAGTCACACGCATACATATTCATACGCACACAAAGAGAAATGACTAAATGAAAGAGACTCATTTGTGATCTTAAAAACATCTTACTCATTTTCCACTTATACCTGAATATTTGGAGGAAAAAATACTTTTCCCATGGAAGCAAGGAACTCCAAACCAGCTAAAAGCAGGTCATCAGAGCATTTCTGGATAGTCAAACCACTCAAACATGAAACAGCCTGAAAAAAAACCCCCAAAAAACACTTGTACCAAAATAATAAAAAATTCAATGAACAAAGATAAATAAAGCTTTAAAAGAAAGAGAAATATGAAGGTTCTAAAGATACACAGTAAAAATTGAGGTGAAAGTGGATGACCAAAATGACCAACTGAATGCAATGTTAAAAGATCACCTGAACGATGACATGTGGCTCCAGACTTTTGATCAGAACAGCTGATAATGACAGGAGTAGCTTCACAGTGCACTGGAGAGGAGGATGAACCTGCACCTGATATTAGTGAAAAAAAAAACTATGAAGAAAAACTACAAACACAGTAACAACTGAAAAAGAACAATTCTTAATTTTCTCATGCCATCCCTGTAAGTACAACTGCTTAACATGAAGGGCCCTATTTTTTTATCTAAGCACATGGTCTAAAGCTCATTACGCAAGTGCACTTAAGGCATGTCCGAATCCAGTTTTGCTAGTTTAACGATGGGAAAAATGGTCTGTGCGACAGGTGCATGGTCTAAAAGTGTTGTCCCTATTCTCTTAATGAGTAATGGGTTTGTTTTGGGCATAACATGCAATAAACCAATCAGTCCCTCATCTCCCATTCCCTTTAAAAGCCAGTTGCACTCACGCCACGGCGGGTTGCTATTTACATGGTGGAATTTGCAAGTGGAAAGACCGAACGCTAGCCTAGAAATCTAGACGCACCCTAGCAGCAGCAAATTTTATTTTGCTGCCAGTTACGTCTAGCAACTCTCCGTTGGCTTGCGAGCTGGAAAAAACTAACTCTAGTCAGGCCAATCACATCGTGTATAGAGTCGGTGGGCGGGCTTAACATAATGACGGCAGAGTTGCGACGGCTCCGCGTGAATTCCCTGCTACTTGAAACCAAAGAAGATGACTGCTGCTGGCGAACAGCAGTCTTTCGAATCGGCTTTGGCCACGACTCTTAAGCTTTTCTTTGAGAAAGAACAAAGAACGGCACTGAAGTCATTCTTAAAAAAGGAAGATGTGTTCGGACCACGTCACCTTAGTTGCTCTGGTTGGTTGTAGCGCTATCCTATTGCGTGCAGAGGGAATTTGAAAGACAACCGTTTATCCCACCCCTCGGATTGAGCCCTGCCAATGGTGTTTGTCAGGCTAACCGAACGCGTCTCCAGAGAGGAAACGGATCTGCTCGTGCGCAAGGTTAAAGCGAGTGAGCAGACCATCTACGGGACAAGCCGGATTCCACCATATCTTTATGTACACAATATTAATCTTTTACATTGTAATCCTTTTATTTTTAATATTTGGCTAGTTTGTGTGCTCCTGGGCGTTCCTGTGTGTGTAATAAACAGAGTGTACGCGCGTTGTGGCCCCACCTAATAGGTGCACCTTACTAACGCGCTCTTTAAATAACAAAAAAAAAAATTTTGCGATATTGGCCATTGACCAACTGAAACCTGGTCTAAAGTCAATGACAATAGACAAATAAAGTCTATTTCAGTTGCCTCAAAATAGCAATGCGCCAACAATGCACCTGAACACAATTTACTTTCAGACCAGCACACCCATGGGCGCACAAATGGGGGCAAATGCATTTGCTATTTAACCCTCTGGGGTCCTTCATTTCAGGGTCACACTCAGGGTCTTCGGGACCAAATGGTCCGGAAGGGTTTGATTCATATTTATTAAAAGAAAATCATATATATATTTTTTTACTTGTTTTTTATAAAAAAAAATTCTTTTATTTTTTGGTGTTTTGAGAAAATTTTATGATTTATAATTAATATTTATGCAATAATTATGACCTATTTTTTCCCATTGAATATAATATAATTTTTTTATAAATAAGTTTTTTTTTTTTTTTTTTTTTTTAAAGCTGTATTTCATTTTAGAGTCAAGCCTAGGCCTCATGAAAACAATTTTTGAAATGAGATGGATGCCATCTGCTGGACACACTGAGCATTTTTATCACGCAATAGCACATTTTTACCACTAGTGGATTTACAGCTCTCTGTAGAAAGGGTTCAGAATTCTTGTGAGTTTTGCACATCTTTGACAATTTTTTTCAGGTTGTTGATTTTAAAATATAATAACAGATTCTCAAAGACTATTTTTGTCTTGTTTTTTGTTTGTTTGTTTGGTTTAAATGGTAATTTGAAGTGCCAGTTTTACTTTATAATACAGATTATTATAAATATATAATACAGTGTGTGTGTGTGTGTGTGTGTGTGTGTGTGTGTGTGTGTGTGTGTGTCTGTTTTGCACTCTTGATGTTTTAGAGATTCACCCCTTCACTGTTGAGTCCTTTTTTCTGCATCCTGGCTGATTTGTAGATTGTATGCAAAAAAAAAAAACTCTGACAATTTTTCCATTCATTTCCTATGGGGGTCATTTTTGACCAAAGAGCAGAAGTGTGACGACCACTTAGCATGCTTGGATCATGACCTCAATATTTTTTGTTTGTTCACATACCTAATACCATAAAAGTCACCTAGTTTCGTAACATTCCGATGAAGCTGTGATTTTTAAAAATTCAAAACATATTTATGTAATCTGAATTTATTAGTGTGTTTGTGTATAAAAGTGTGTGTGTGTGTGTGTGTGTGTGTGTGTGTGTGTGTGTGGATGTGTCTGTTTTGCACTCTTGATGTTTTATAGATTCACCCCTTCACTGTTGTGTGCTTTTTTTCTGGATCGTGGCTGATTTGTTGATTGTACGCACAAAACAACTCTGTATTGTCACATTTTTGTCTATTTCCCATTCATTTCCTATGGCGGGTCGAAGACCCTGAGTGTGACCATTTTTTTTACAACCACTTAGACTATTCAAATCCTGTCCCCAATTTTTTTGGGTGTTCATATACCAAGTACCAACAAAGTCACCAAATTTCGGACCATTCCGATGAAGCTATGATTTTACACATTTTTTTATTTAAATTCTTCGGGTCCATTTGGTCCGAAGAACCCCAGAGGGTTAAACAACATGACGCAGGACGTGAAAATGATAACTGCGTTGGGATGACACTAGCAAAAAACACTTGCGTCGCGCCTGGCGCCGTATTGCGCCGGATGTATGATAGGGCCTATAACCTTAAACTTAGTCCGTGTAAAACTATACACAACCGTTCACAAATATGGGGTCGGTAAGATTTTTTAAATGTTTTTGAAAAGTCTCTTGTGCTCACTCACCATTGCTGTATTTATTTGATTAAAAATACAGTAAAAGCTGTAATATTGAAATACTGTAAAAATGATTACATTTTAAATTAACTTTTCTATTTTAATGTTTTAAAATATTTTATAATGTAATTTACTCCTGTGATTACAAAGTTTAGTTTTCAGCAGCCATTACTTCAGTCTTTAGTGTATGGAAGCTTGTTTCCTCCATGGAATAAAACAATTTAAAAGATAATTGCTAATTTTTATCTCGCAATTCTGACATTTTTTCTCGCAATTGTGAGTTTCTATCTCGAAATTCTTTTTTTTTCCCTCACAATTCTGACTTTTCTCAGAATTGCGAGTTTTATATCTCGAAATCCAGACTTTATAACCCGCAACTGCGACTTTATATCGCACAATTCTGAGGAAAAAAAGTCAGAATTGCAAGATGTGAACTCGCAATTGCAAGAAAAAAAAAGTCAGAATTGTGAGATAAAAAGTCGCAATTACCTTTTTTATTTTTTATTCAGTGACGGAAACAAGCTTCCATATCAGTGTCACATGATCCTTCAGTAATCATTCTAATATGCTGATTTGGAGCTGAAGAAACATTTCTTACTATTGGCAATTTTGAAAACAGTTGTGCTGATGAAAATATTCAGCAGACCCATTCACTTCTTGTGCTTGCTGAATAACAGGTGAGCCAGGAGACCGCATAGCTCAATATTAATATATTAACAATATATAATTAGTGTAAACTTCATGAATGAAATGAGTAGAGTGCGATATCAAATCAAATAGTTGCAGGGCTGTGACGAGAGTGATATCAACTAAAATGCTACATCATACACATTTTTCTACTATTTGATTTGTCTATTTATATATATATATATATATATACATACATACACACAGGTCTATTTATACAGATATTGGCTCCGCTGCACACCCCTAACTGGGATACATTTGTTCAGGAAACTTTGATGAATAGAAAGTTCATAAGAACATCATTCATTTTAAATAAAAAAACTTTACTGTCACTTTTGATCCATTTAATGCATCCTTGCTGAATAAAAGTGTCAATTTCTATTGGGGAATAAAAAAACTCTTATTGACCCCAAACTTTTAAACAGTTGTGTATATGTGAAATCTGGTCACCTGGTTGCTACTCATGCGACTCCACAGCTGAGAGATGATCTTTACAGAAGACAGCACACATTCCGCCTGCAGGCTGCTACCTCCCATCACCAGCAGCACACAGCCCAGTATTCGGTTCTGGATCACAAAGAGAAACAAGAGTTAAAAGTGGGTACAGGGCATATTTATCTTTAAGGCGAGGTGTGAAATATAATTGGCACACTGTGGATGTGTTAATCTACAACACAATAAAACATTAAGCATTGAAATAAAAAAAGTATTAAACGTTTATGCGGTTGGTGGCGGCACTGTCACTTCAGTTCCCTCACCAGTCTCGGTATATCTCCCAGCTTGTGGCCACTATTCTGCCATTCCTGCAGTACAACAGAAGCCCTGGCGAGCACCTCTTCCTCCACCTGCATGCGTGCCTCCACGCACAGACACCTCAGCAGAGTCTGACGCCACACACACACATTCTCCTCCTGAGAGGGAGGGAAGCGCTCCACAAACTCCACCTGTCACAAAAACACTTCATCATACTTAGAAATGTACCATTTTGCTACCTTCAAAACAAAGACAGAACGGTGGGAACATAAATAAACTATATTAGCAAGCCAAAAAAATCTAACAAAATCATCAATGTTCTGAGGAAGTGTTCTGCAGAGTCGTGTTCATATGCTATATCTGGACAAGAGAAAAGGAAACTAACCTGGTGTTTTGGAGTCATGAGAAAGAGCAGGCGTCTAAGCAGCAGGGCCAAGTGAAACAGCTGATAACCCTCACCAGGACATGACCTTATCTAGACAATACAATAACAATACAGGTCACAGAAGCAACTGGTTCTCTACTAAAGGCCTTATATTTTATGGAAATATTTTCAGAAAAATATTCACCTTCAAAAATGTCAATAAATTTAGAAATATCAAGGATTAAGAAGAAGATCGGTACGGTTTGGAAGCAAAACATAGATGTATGGTTTAAAATATTGGTCTCAAACTCAGTTCCTGGAGGGCCACAGTTCTGCACAGTTTTGCTCCAACCCTAATCAAACACACCTGATCCAGGTAATAAAGGTCTTCAGGATTACTAGAAACTTCCAAGCAGGTGTGAATTGGAGTTGGTTGGAGCTAAACTCTGCAGGGCTGTGGCCCTTCAAGAACTGAGTTTGAAACCACTGTTTTAAAATTAAGACAAAAGGTATTTGAACTTTCAAAAGTGAGGTCTGTAAAGGAAAGAAATAAATACTTTTCTTCCACAAGGATGCATTAAATTGATCAAAAGTGACAGTAAAGGCATTTTTGTTACAAAATATTTATATTTCAAACAAATGCTGTTCTTTAACTTTCTATTAATCAAAGAATCATGAAAAAATGTATCAGTTGCCACAAAAATATTAAGCAGCACAACTGTTTACAATATTGATACTAAGAATAAATGTTTCTGTAGCATTTATTAATAATAAAAGCACAGTTTAGCATAATTCATATGATACTGAAGACTGGACTAATATGAAAATTCAGCTTTGCCAAAGGAATAAATACATTTTACTATTAATAAATAATATTTCACAATATTACTGTTTTACTGTATTTTTTATCAAATAAATGCAGCCTTGGTGAGCATAAGAGGCTTCTTTAAAAATGTTACTGGCTTCAAACGTTTGAGTGTGTGTGTGTGTGTGTGTGTGTGTGTAAACCATAAGTTGTTCATCCAAAACTTAATTAACGACATTTACAATAATACCAAGCACACAAGACAAATGCCACAAGAGTGTTGTGATTGACAGGTGTGTTCTTCCCCATGTTCTTTTTAGAGAAAAAGGGCCCAGAAAGCACAGAAAGTCACATTCCCAACAGACTCCACTCACCAGGTGAGCAATAAGGAGAACATGGTGAAAACACAACTCGGACGTGCCATACCTGAAGAGAGAAAGAGACAATATCAACTCTGATATAATTGTACATTAATGTGTACTTCTTGTATTCTTCAGTGCAGTAGATGTTTTCTTTCCTCCTTGTCTAACATTGACACAAGTCTTAGTAAAGGATGGTAATCAATATTACTTAGGGGGTTAATAGAAAGTTCTAAATGACTCCTTAACAACAATGACAAAACTTTGGAATTTTCTAATATATTAAACACAGGAATGTCCCCTGATTGTTCATGCTCAACGTTCCTGTGACAGCTCTGGGAAGTGGTAGTCATAGAAGTCCGATGGTCTATGCTCCTGGGTGTGTGTATCTGTACTACTACTTACCGTGCCAGGAAACACCAGACATCTGTGGCCAAGACAGCCGTCTGTGTGTCTGCCTGTAATACGGCAGCTAATAGTGACCGCTCCTTGAAGAAGGAAACAGAGAGGACTGCAAGATTATGTGATGTTTCCTTTTTCTGATGAAATGTATTAATAAGTACCAGCTATTTGTCACATGGCCAATAAAAAATGATTTCAGCACTTAATATCGAACACTACTTTGGGCATAAATGGGAGAATTTAAAAGCTAATATTAATAGTAATGATTAATCTTTTATTTCTTTGTTTTCTCTGAGAGAACCATGTTATCATAAGGTGATCACATAAATAAAAAGACAGTCGCAGTATCTAGTTCAGATCAGAAGTAAATTTTATACATGTCACGTCATCCAGAGAGAAACGTCAAGCTTTGTTAGTACACAGAATTCAATAAATGTTCAAAAGAGATCACTGACCAGCGGAGGGAAGTGTTGTGCAGGCAGCACAGCCACACAAGCACACATATGGACACACACATGCTGATGCAGACTGACTCTACCCTGAGCCTGCCCTCTCAGCATTACCCCCGGTAACCACACTGGAACTGCACGCTCCAACATACAATGCCTGAAACTCTGCAACACGGCCTCAAACACAGACCATCTGAGGAAAGAGAGAGTTTTTGCTGGTATTATGTACTTTAGCCAAAAACACTAGAAACTAGTGTGTTCCAAACACACTTTGAACTTTGTGTTCCAAAGATGAATGAAAGTCTTAAGGGTTTGGAACAACATGAGGGTGATTAATTGATGACAGAATTTTCATTTTTGGGTGAACTAACCCTTTAAGACTTCAACACTACTAAACAATTTAAAGTAAAAAATGATCATATCACATTTCTCACACAAATATATATTTTATACATTTCAAACTTAAGACTACTGATTTAATTATAATAATATATAATACATTTAATTACAAATAAAACTGAAAATGTTCACCAAGCCAATTCAGGAAAGGCTGTACAATTAATAATGCAATAAACTCAACTGCAGCAATATTGACTAGTTTAATTGACACATTTATCTTGTTAAATTAAACAATTGTAAAGTACCTGGGAGTTTCCTCCGAAAATTGGCTGCCATCACTCCACAGCCGCAGCGCCTCCTCTGACTGGGAGGAGAGTTTACCCAGTATATTCACCAGTAGCAGACACTGTGGTAGACAAAGCTCTGCACTGCTCTCTATAATACACAAACAACAAAAAACAAAGGTATGGCTCAAAATATTTACGTTTTTAAATGTTTACGAAAACATTCGGGATTGTGTACTATGAAGCCCTGCACATGACACATAATTTGTTTGCTCATTGTAATTTATTTAAATATTGGCCATGATTTAACTAGATCAAAGGAATGAATTAAGTTGTGGGAACGAATTCTTATTTATTTGTCCAAGGCTCCGTAGTTTACAGCATGAAATACGTACGGAATGTTTTTCGCTTACCTATGAGCCTGTAATAAGTCTGAAATTGTCACAGTCATTCGGAAAATTCAGTTTATTTGTAATAACATCACAGACATAAAGTGCAACTCCACATGTTGCAGTGAAGGATGCATTGCCCTGTAATAATGAAAGGCCAAAAAGTGATTGTTCAATTTAAATGACCTGGAAGGCACAGGATGTACACTCAGCAATGTGCCATGGACAGTCGGTCTCTCTGCATTTCTTATATAACCATGTCCTTGACATGAGAGAAATTCATCACCCTCCAGAGACTATGCAGACAGTGACCAATCACTCGTATGACAACAAAACAACCTTAATGACCAGGCAGAGTGATATAAGATCTTGCATTGGACAACATTTTTTTAAAAATTTTCCAGGGTTCAAGAGGACACTGTAAGTTATGAAAGTTTGCAATAAGAAGCTCACGGTGGTCTGGGTCCAGGACAGACTGAGCAAAGGGTTGGAAGGGCATCAGTTGTGTCAGCATGACATCTAAGGGAACCAGGACAGCCACTCTCAATTCCTCACTGAGGGCAGGAGGCACGGATGGGGCACATACAGACGGGGGGAACTTGCTAAGGAGGGGAAAACCAAAAGTTCAATTAGACAAAATGGACAAAACAAGGAGGGGAAAAATATGAACTTTGACATGATTTTAAAATGAAAATACCCATGTTAAGTGTTGACCTTGTGCAATATATATTTGATTACCTGTGGATTTGGAGATACAACTGGTGAAATCGACAGCATGACTTGGCAAGGAATGCTTTAAATTCCTATCAAATGATAAAAATTAAAAAACTTTATAATGTAATAATCATGGTTGTGACGAATACATTTAGTTTTTCTCTTAGTTACCTTTGTGTAGTGGACTAATGTGTTGGCTAAAAACCTACACATCTTTGTGGCTTTTTGGAAAAGCTTGTATTCTGGACAGTGCACAACTTCCTATGAGGAACAAAAGGAGGAAGGCAGATATGAATTGACCTTTTATATAAAAACACTTGCTTATTATTAGTATTTAACAAAAAAGTCCCTGACGCACATTTCTAGGTCACCATTCTTACCATGGAATATATACCACAGCAACCAATAAATAATCACAATCTCTCTAAAAAAAAAATGACATGGACACTGCTCTGTTGAATTTTAACTAGTGGTCAACTGATATAGATTTTTTCATGGTCAATATTTGTCGATGGCTGATTTAAAGCCGAATAAATATAAATAATCTCACACTAATTTAGAAATAGCAAAAACACATGCATAACAATTGCTGAAATTATTTTTTTATTTTATTTGACTTAAAGTAACAACAGGTAACTTTTCAACCTTCATAATATATTTCCAAGTCTCTTGTGATGGTACATCGACTTACAATAGGTTGAATGACACGTCTGCCATAGCCTGACGGGGTCTGTAGCGTTTTTAATAATACTTTTAAACTTCGGGTTTCGGGTAGTAACCGGCGAACAAAGAGAACTACAAAATTCGACTGCTTTACGGCATATACGTCACTTCCACCACCACCCCCACTTCCTTAAAATCGGACTTGCGAGCCAAATGTTATAGTCATGGCCGAAGCAGCACAGAAAAACAAGAAAGCAAAAGGTTTTATCGGAGCAAAGCAAAAAGAGAAAAAGAGAAAGTGATCGCGTTAAAGGCAGAACGAGGATCAACATTGCAGAGCTGCCAACTCACGCATTGGCCGTGAGACACCCACATTTGATTGGTTTCACACGCTCACACGCCACACCCCCGGTTTCTCACGCTAAATTGTCAACCCGGTCGGTCAAATGCCTGAAAGATGAGTTTATCTATAGATCTCTACCTGTTGAGCCACTCGTGATCGACAAGTTATACCGCAAATTAGTTCAAATCTCCCGGAATCTAGAGCGAGCGCGCACGCGAGACAGAGACTGTGCTCCAACGCGCGCGGACGGCAGAGAGAGAAAGCGAGCGAGAGACCTTGCGTGTGCAGGGAGCATCGAACCCCCCATCGAAAAAAGAATGCCTCTCTCTAACCTCTCTAATTCGCTAGAGTAGTAGCGAATTATCAATCTGGTAGCTAGTAAACGATATTCTAGTTTTTGATGGTTAGCTATCGCTAGTATTCTCGTTCTGATTTGAACTTTGCAATCGATGAAATGCAAATAGCAAATGTTTGACCTAAAAAGTGTAGTCTACTCAACATGTACAAAGAAAGGAGGAAGATTATTAATAAAATCATATTTTAGGGTACCTAACATGTCTGTGATATTTGTTTATTTGTCTTGCCTCAAGCTATAATGCAAATCGATTTGTAAAATTTGCAGATTCATTTATGGTAGCTTGATATTATAATATTGACGATATATGGTTATTATCAACCACTCAAACATTGCATTGAAGTATCATATAGATTCAGTAAAACGGCAACCAATAGACTAGGCTACTATAATGACGCTGGCTTGTAAACGTGAGCATCGCGATCATTTGTCGTTAGAAAAAAAATAAAACCCATGAAATTATATTCATATGACATGCTGAAATATATGCCACTGTACCTGGGATGAAGACATTTCACACGCAACGCAAGCAGAACACCTGCATGTGACCTCCTCCTACAATGTTCAGGGCTATCATGCTTGTCAACAATTGCACGTGCATGTAGGATGACAGAGTTTACGACAGTAGTAGAGGACAATACTGTTTCCCAACTGTAGGGGGACCCCGAGAGCAAAAGCTACCTGTTGTTACTTTAAAAGTCTAAAATGTCAAACATGTTAGTTTGTTTTTTCTACTTGTTACTTTGCACTTCTGTTAACAAAGATTTTTTATATTATTTATTCAAGTTTTATTTATTTTTATCATTTCAATTCAGGTATCTAAATATTCTTAAGAATCTTAGTTGAACGTATTCGAGTCTACTTCACCTGTAGATCTGCCTGTTGGATCTGTTGAGCCAGCTCAAGACAGTTCTGGACAGACGTACACAGGTCTTCACACAATGAGAAGGCTATGTCAGTGTGATGGAGCTGATCTTCTACAAGAGACTGGTACTTCACGCTCTGTCTGAAACCAAATACAAACTGTAAGTATAAAAATTTGTATCATTTATTTCTTCATACAAATTTTAGATTTAATAAAGAATTATTACATTTAATAATATAGTATTTTTTTCCTACTATGTAAGTTAATGGCTACCGTCAAATGTTTGATTACCAACATTCTTCAAAATATCTTCTTTTGAGTTCAAGAGAAGAAAGAAACTCATACAAGTTTGGAACAACTTGAGGGTGAGAAAATGATGACAGATTTTTGGGTGAACTGTCACCTTAAACTACGCAGTTGCGGGGTCCACTTGTTTAAGTAGCAATGGAAGGAAAAACAGATCCGAGTGGGAGCGTTTTACTGAAATATTTAAACAACCAATCAAATGCTGGGTATGTGATATGTAACGGCTGTGAACCGCTATATGTATATGACAATAAACTAATAAAGCCTATATCCAGCCTTTGCTTGGGCTGAATAGATTTCATTACTTGTGTGTGTTCGGGAAGTTGCAGTGACAGAAACGGTGACAATTTAAGTTTGAGGGGGGTAAAGCCTGTGTTTAGGCTATTAAGGAAATATGATTTTGCCAAAGAAGAACTTTTACTTTAAATAAATATTCATTTTAAAGCAGCCAATTTCAGTGTAATATGTTACCATATCATCACGCTTAAAACTGAGAATTGGGGTTCTGGTAATATGGCGATCGGGTGCGGATATCTAAATCAGAGAAAATCATAGGTTCAGGTGGGTGGGGGGTGGATGATTTATTTTTAAAAGCGGATTCGGGTGACGTTAGAGCTGATTGTGTGTTTGGGGAAAAAAACGATGACCAGTACATCTCTATTCATGAATGATGCACATTACACTCACTTAATGATACATTTCCATGTGTTGGCATGTAGGGCAATGTCCAATCTGGATATGATCGAGCATATGTCCAGCAGACTGTGAATCACTGCAAGGCAAGCCAAACAAAAATTCAAAACTACTATTGCAAATCACATCCATCTCTTCACTAGAGATGAAACATGCATGAACCAAACTGAATCTTTCCCTAACATAGAAAAAACACAAACCTGTGACAATATCCGATACTTCCTCCTCAGATGCAGTGTCCTCCAAGTTAATTTTGTCCAAGAGTTCCATCAGACCCTTCTGCAAAGAATAGGCCTCTTTAAAAAGGCCCTGAAGTAAATCGCCCACCAATGACAGTCTTCCACTGTATATGACCTCACTGTCCTATAAACACATCGACATCATACTGAAATTAACAGCAAATACAGTTCTCCACACTGTTATGTTTGCGTTAAGATGATATGGTGTACAAGGAGGCTCTAGAGTTTACTTTAACATGAGGATTTATTAAACGCTTTTTCAGATACGCAACATGAGTACTAACTCATCAGCAGCAAGTACACAACCAAACCTTCTAGGGCTAATTTGCATAAACTGTACTAACAAGTGCTATAGCATACGTTGTCTCTGGTTCATAGCAAAACGTAAGAATACTACACCACTATAGCACAAACACACTAAAACTGCCAACAGCCTTTTTGGTGTATTTACAGGTCATGCCTGATGGTGCCAAAATATGTCCAGTGTACAATTTAAAAATAATGTACCTTGCAGTGCTGGAAGGTGTCTTTTAGGACTCTAAGAATGCAAGAGGGCAGAGAGCGAATGTTGTCAAAGGAGACAGACTCTTCAAAGGAATTGACATGACGCACACAGCCAGAGAGGGACTCCAGGGTCTGGAACATCATCTAGCCAAAAACATATCAGCAGAAAGTTATATGAAGAAATCTGTACCGCTGTACACAAGCTTGATATATTATCAGATAAGGCATATTCAAACCTTCAGTATATTTCTCACAAATACATGCAGCTCTGTGTTCTGACTAGAAAGGCCTCCAATTTGCTTGCTGATTTCTTCCAAAAGACCTGCAAACACTTTTACCACCTGTGGATTGATCATGACAACACATAAAAACGTGCCTCGTGTTGAATATTTCAAGCTATAGAAAAAGAATGGGCACAAGGGGCTATACATTGAGGTCTAATTGGTTAGCATAAAGACAGCATGCCACCCATACCAGATAACTAAAGTGAGACTATGACTATGGAAAGTGGACAGTGAATCACTGCGATTAATCTCATATAGGATGCATTTTGTTGTGTTAATTCATCTGCTACCAAAGTGCTCCAGTTTACTGTTGTTTTCAGCAGCTGAAACGACAATGTCACGACATTTTTTACTACGATTGGGTTTTTTGAAATAATCTTATTTCTTTCATTGCATAAAAAAAACATTGATGCACTATTAATAATAATTAGCAGTATGCCTTTTATTTTTCTAGTACTGTTTTCATTACCAGTGTGGTTTAATTAAAATCCTTTCATTTTCGTCATGATACCCCAAGAACTCAAATGCTTTTTTTTAATAAGCTATCAAATACTTGAAAGGAATAAAAAAAAAAATGTTTAAATAGACATTTTGTGGGAATTTAAAGATCAAACCTTGGGTAAGACAGTGGAGAAACATCCCGTCTCTAATTCAGATAAAGAAAGATGAGGGAGGAACTTGCTTGTGATTATTTGCAGAATATCTGTGGAGAAAAAAAATCAAACAAAGTAGAATACAATACACAGGAACTTGATAAAGATAAGATAACCCAATTAAATGTCTCAAAACCTAACATGAATAAAGGTTTTCATACATCAAGTAAAATAAAACGCATGTTTGGAGGCACCCGAGATATGCCAGTTCCGAAAGTGATGTACTGAAAACAGTTTAGACTTACTTGTGTGCTCTTCCCAGCTGTCAGTGTCATGATGCATGGCGTGCATGTGTCAAGGCCAGTATAGATCATTTTAATACACATATAACAACTAAGGCAGTCCTAAAAAATCAAATACATGTTTGTAACTCTCCTGCCTACATTCATAAATTGCCTTAAACTACTAAAGAAATTAATTTGAAGAGATACTCAGGAAAGGATATAACTAGTTTAGGTAGGACAGTTTTGAGTTCTTGTTGACAGATCTCCTGGTTCCACTGAGAGACCTCATCCAAAAGAGTCACTTGAGACATTGTGGTAACTTTTTTCAAAACACACCTGTGTTGAAAACAAAGTTCCGACTTAAAATGTATCGATGGCCAAACATGATTAGGTGGTAAAAGGTAACTTAACTTAACCGTAATTGTATTCGTTCAATTTGCAGGTTAGACTAAACTAACAACTAACGTTAAGTTACAACTAGCTTCATACGCCATTTTCAAACTAATAGCTACTTATAACTTACCAACTCACTCAGGTGGATACAATAGCGCTTAATAACAAATGCATGTGATAATTATGGACAATGATGAGATCCTGAACACATTTAGGTCTTCTGTTTTGAATTCTCCTCGTTTCCGTGCTGGGTGATTCCATTTGCCAGCACTGGATGGGGTTTCCTTATCAAAACGAAACCTGTTTGGAGACTATTTTAAGCATTATGTGTGCCATATATAACGATACGCAAGTCAAATTCGACCATTAAGTTTTTGTTCGTTTAACTGATGTACTTTATAAATGGTCCGTTGATCACGAATTCCCCTATAAACCTATATGGTACCGCTCCAAATTTCGCGCCGTTTTAAGTGGTTTTAATTCACACCGCACTCTACGGTGATTGGTCAGAATGTGGTGTAGTTCATTTATGGCACAATCACAAATGTTATTTCATCGATGTACGAGGCGGTGACACAGCGGAACAACGGTGAATACACAATTTTATAGGATTTGTCCGTGAAAGTGCCTTTACTACATTTTGCGGGGCTCAGGCAAATATTTTTTTTCCAGTGTATCGTGCATGCTTCCCACATTTAGAAGTGTAAATTTAGATCTAACGTTATGGATTTAAAAAAAAATCTAACGATTGGATTTTTAAATCCAACAAAAACTATTTTTGGTTAGCTTTTTCTTCATGGTTTTACTTATTTTGTATTCCAGTGTTTTTTGTACGCTTTGTATTTCTATCTGTGTATTTGTGTAAAATGCCTTGAGAAGCTATTTAAGGCACTAACGTCACATGAAATAAAGTTGATTACTTATAGATCACAGATCTTAAGTCCCAAAAAGGAGTACATGGATTCTGAACCAAACAGTAAAGAGACTGAGTAGTAGACTACTTAAATATTTATTTAAAAACAAAACAATTAAACTACATTTTTTGCTTGACTTTGGCTCTCCCAGACCTGAAGGGGACCAACTTGGGCTTTTCCCTCCCACTGGAAACCTGCAGTGACAAATAGAGGAAACCAGTCAACATAAGTCAAAATATGAAATCTGCAGTGTCCTTTTGGGCTTGGTCACATGCAAGATATACCTAAAACTTTGGATAACACACTATCCGTCCTCAATCCACAGCTTGTGTCACAGCAGCCACACACCTGATCACCTCCATCAGAAGAGACCCATCTAAGGCACAAAAGTTGTCAAGAGGGTGTATGTTATACAGAATAACATGGAATAATCCAGCAGGACTCACCCGTTTGTTCTAAAAGAACAAGCCTTATGATCCTCATCAATCTGAGACGAAGCTGCACTTGCTCTTAGAAGACAGGTGATGTAAATCTGCTGAAAAGAGCCATTTTTTAAAATGCAAGGAATTAAAAACACTTAACTTAGACCGCAACAAATAATCCTGCAATACATACAGCACCACTGCTTTCCTGCTGGAATCTGAAAGCCTCTAACTGAAATTGTAGTTTGTCATCTTGCACCCGGGGTAGAAAGTTGGAGCTGGAGTCTGTATACTTTGCATCAGTGAGGCAACTGAAACACCAAGAGGTTTCATGAGGATCTCAATTTTCCCACTTGAAAAAGTTCAGCATAGGACTTCTTACCCATGATTTTCAATAAAAGAATACGTAGGAGCGGAATTCACATCAGGGCCTGCAGTGGCCACACAGTTGTCCACAAATATACGAAGGGGAACATGGTTGTACTGCTTCACAGATGTCTGAATATTCAAGATGTCACCCAGGAAGAAAACATTCGAAGGCCTTTCAAACATCCAGTCATCTTAAAAGAAAGACACAATCATTGTAAAGAAACTACTAATGAAAATATATAGGAAGGCAATACAAACCAGTCATGAGATTCAGAGAGAAAACCAGAATGTCCTCTGCAACCTTGGTGGATATAAACGGGATCCACGTTGGCTCCAGGTCATTACTGCTCACATTCTGTCTCCTGTAGTGAAATACTTATTCATTCATGTCCAAAAGACTTGAAAATGACATTAGTAGTGCAAGAAGAAAAACTTGACCTGGGGTAGTGGCATTCAATGCCAATTGTAACACCACTAGACCTTACAATTGGAGTACTCTGTAGTGCTGTTGGTCTATAATCAAGAGTAAAGATATACACAAGCTCATCTTCAGTCACCTGTGAAAGGGAGTTTAGAATCAGACAAACACAGCAGAGCTTTGGCCTCACAAGCATATTAGCAATTCAGTTAAGAAGCCACTTGACATACAACTGTCTCGCCACCACACTCCTGAAGCGCCGAATGAAAGATGAGGACTCTGGCAACTGCATCTATGTCCACAACACCACAGCTCCCTAGGGACATAAGAGAGGGCTCAAGGAGTTGACCAGTACCAAAGAAGTCCTGCTTCACTTCCACGTGTACCCCATCTTCCCAACACTGGACTGCTAAGCTGTTAGAAGGATTAGGCTGCTGAAACTCTGAATTAAAATCTGGCTGTGCTGGCTCTTCTGGGGTCACTGGGAACTTCCAGGTCAGCTCCCTGACTGGGCCCTGCAACTCTTGTTTAGACTGAATACTTGAAGGCGTTAGATTTGGAATCAGCGGGGCCAGCTGGGGCCTCTGAGATTGAACTCCATAAGGGGCTTGGATTGGTTTCTGCTGCTCCCTAAGATGAGAATCATCTTTTTGAGGCTTTTGCATCAGCACCCGGGGCCAAAATGCCCTAGCCTTTAGGCTGGTACTGTACACATGATCAAATGCAACCAACACTAAAAGCCCAAGTATACATTGCCTTAGTCCCATTATTGCAACCACCACAATGCCACACAGCCACACTGCAGTAACACATTTTAGCCCTTGTTTATAGTGCCATGAATACTGTCCCCGCCCAGCCCCAAAAAAGATTAATTGTTCAGTGGACTATCCTAATCACAGAATCAATGGCTCACTTGCGTTAAAGTTCACTCATCAAGCCCATCACAAGCAAAACTCAATTAAAGTCCCCCTGTTGTCAATCATTTTATCCCTTAAAACTCATTTTTAATCACCAAAATTACATATTAAAAAAAAAATTCCTGTGAAAAGATTTCATCATGCCTTAAGATAGCTTGAATGTAACTCTACTCCCTTGCTTCATTTAGTATACGCCTATCTATGAATATGCAAATTAGCACGGCCTCCGCTCAGACCAGCCCAGAGATCCACTCGATCAACTTTACTCAAGTTACTGTAGTAAACGCTGCACAATAGTATCGCTCTTTACAACGTCAGACACATAGCGGTAATAATATGATTAGCATGTTGCTTTACTACATTATCAAACGGCTAATAACGTGTTGCTAATGTGCATTTTTGAGACTGTACTTGGTTCACTGCAGTTTTATAGAAAATACTCTGCAGTGGTGTTGACTTTTGAATTTGCACATGGTTTGTCTTAAAGCATATAAAATAGACATTTAAACTTTAATAAAATGAGAAGAAACTATGAGAAACCACTCTTGCTTGTAACTATTTCGAAATTTACAGTATTTGACCTTGAAGTTATTGAGTTTTCTTGGTGATATTATTAATATTTCTTATATTGTTAATTTCTGAGCTCTTATCTCCACCACAAGTTACTTTTCAACTTCTTCATAATTATATCTTTATTATTTGTAATTAAGACAGATTGACTGATTGACTACAGTGCACATTCAGATTGATTTAAATTCTCCAGTGGTTCCTTTAAGTGAAGGCAGGAAGAGTGAGCTGGCTACAGATTCCTACACACATCAAAGAAATTACCAGAATACACTGTTACTGTCTGGATATTGTATGTTGGCTGCCAATATTGTGTTCGCCACACCTCTCTACTTCAAAGTGACACTTTCTATTTTTCTTTTAACATCCTTGACGGTAAGCGCGAACACATGCGCCAGCCACATGCTAAGGGAAACAAAAGCATATTAAGAGAAGGCCATGATGGAGATAACATCTACAGGAACTTCCAAATACAGCAGTCATTATGTTCAATCCAGACTCCAAACGTGTCACAGGAAGACGGAAATTTCACAAGGAAAATAAAACGCAATAAATCACAGCACTTTACCTTGCCTTTGCCTTACTACATACTTTTTTTACAAATACAAACCAATACTTACCTTGAATTAAAATTAATTACTAAAACACAGCACAGGCACTGACACTGTACTAAAAATGATTTCAAAATTATATAACATTTTTGAGAAGGCCATTGCTCAAACAAATCACTTCGCACTAGCACCTATTAAGATAACTTTACTAGAACCAATAATACACTATTCACTGAAAAGAAAATCCAGTCTGGTCATTTGAGTAGCTTTTTCATACCCTCATAAGTGTACTTAAATACACAATCATGGTGCCTGTCTGTAAATGACTAAAGCTGTCTATGCTCTCATTTAACCTCTTAATGCTAATAGACAATGAGGGTCATATTCGTTTATTCAGGGTCTCAGGACACAGGAAATTGGTAAAAGTTTTGACTTCAGAAACAGGATGGCAAAATCCCTTATGCACAATACACATGACATTGTATGAGATCAATTAAAAAGGGTTCCACTGAAAATCACATATTTAACTATATAAATGTATGCTTTGCAAAATAATGGGTCTTTTTACAATTTAATTGTAATGGTGAAAACATAGTGTTTGGTTCTGTGAAATGTTTTTCACCAAATATGTATGCTTGTATCTCAATGGCAAATTTCTCAATGTTAACTATACATACAATCCATGAATAATACAGATGCTCTTTTATCTGTTCCTGATCTCTAAACCGACACATTCCGTGACAGAGACAGGAGACAGGATATGTTTATCGCTGTGCAAAGCATGCAGAGTTCCTGTGCAGGTTAGACCTCAATGTCCAGGTCAATGATAAAGTTCAACTTAGACACGGTAGTGAACAATTATTTAATTTGCATCCAAATAAAAATTAGGTATAGCTAAAGAGTTGTTACATTTTCACTAAAGGTTCATGGCCATGGATTTGAGTCTTCTATTCCATAGTGATTTCATAGTCTTTAAAGACAGATTTTAGCTTTTCCACCGTGACAGCATGGTCAGCCTTCCCATATCCCTAGAAAAAGAAAAGATACGTGAGACCATCTCTAAACGAAAGCTTAAAAGCAACATTTGGTTATTTGAAAATATAGTAAAAGCCCCCCAAATATTCATGCCCAAAAAGAAGACTACACTTATTGATGCACTGAGATTTGTTAACTAATATCTGAATATAGGCCTACTTCTACCGTGTGTGTCCCTATGAAACACTATAGTTGTTGTGTGTGCCTGTGTAACCCCTGCTGTAACCTTAATTTATCTCATCATTTTAAGTAGTTGTTATAATGGTTACGCGTTACCGTAGACTCTCCAAACACCCGAAGTTTCTTTTCTGTGTTGTTGTGCTCAATCTTGCCACCTCCGAGACAATTACACTCCAGTCCCAAGGCCTCCATAGCAGGATTCACTTTTTCAAATATGTGAACTGAATAAAATAAATAATGAGAAGAATATCAAATAATGAGAAGAAAGTCAAAATCATTCCAGCAATACTACAACCCATGATAATGTTTATTTTGAGATCTGCTGAAACGGATACAAGTCTCGTGAGCCTATCAACAGTTTTTGTATTCAACTAACCATTAGCTATTACTATAACTTCACAAATCTCAATCAATCCACAAAATCAATTCAATGTTACCTGTCAATCATTTTAGGCTACCAACATTTTTATGTTGACATATGTTTCCTCAATGCCCATAAACGGAGAAGAACAGAGTGGATGTTACCAAGTGATTTATAAATAGCTGTCTGAAAAGGATAGTTAACTTGCTGGCTTGCATACAGACTAGTCAGGCTGTTGCACTAGCGTGCACACTTACTGTGGTACTCCGCTGTTTTAGTTCCCCTCACTATCACTTTATGTTCAGTTCCATCTTTAACCTTTATGTTCACTAATATGTATTTAAACTGCCCCTCTGGATCAATGTCGACATCGGGCACTTTACTCAGGGCGTCTGCCATCTTCGCTGGCAGCTGCAGCAGGCGAACCACCTTATACAGTCATCACGCAACAAACTACAAACCGGAAGTAACTTACACAACAAAAATAACACGAATCAAAAAATTAAATAAATAAATATGGTAATGGAGAACATTTAAAGTATATGTCTTTTTAGAAATGGTTAAACAGTTTGTAAGGAGCAGAAATTACTTAAGGTGTAAATAATACAAAATAAAAATATAAATTCAGACATATTATGTGGCAGATCTGGTTTTACATGCAGTTTATGTCAAACTTGGAAGAAGAAAAAAAAGACTTTAGTTCGTCGTGTATCACTCTGCTCGTTATCTCGCTTTGACCACCCCTTCCTTTCTGACCTGCGGACTTTCCCTCTCTCTGCCACCAGCTAGCAAGTTTGTCTAATCAAAACATAAATGCTGTGCTTCGTGTATAGCATATTTTTCCATATTTTTCATCTAGAGGCAAGTAGGCTATTAGCTGACTTATAATAATAATAAAAAAGGTTAATCCAATAAAAAGTAATTTAAGTAAATATTTATTTATTTATTATTATTAATTCATTTATTCATTCACAATCATTGACCATTTAAGTATGTGTTGTTTCATTGCTGCATGTCCCTCGGTTTTGACGCCATTTAGCTATCAAATACGTTTGGCCAAAACGATACTTTTTTCAATACAATGCATCAAACGATCGGCTTGTCAGCGAAGATCACGTTCGAAAAGAAAACACAGAAAAGGCAAAGGTAAATATCACGTGTTAAACAGAATATTTTTTTTGTTGGTGTGTGCCATGTTTCCTGTCCGGCTGTAATAATAAAGGAAAAATAATTCCCACAGGTCCAATAGTAGCCTACCGTTAGTTGAAGAAATACATTTTAATTAATTAATTCTACATTCTAATTCATTCTCGTGTGTGACCAGCTATAGGCCTATAGCTCATTGTAACCAATTAATCCACACATTGATCATTTAAGTGAATAAAAACAATAAAAACAATCATCCTCAATTTGAGTGTGTTTATATTATTTTCAAATGGATACGTTTGTATGAACTTAATATTATAAGAGAGTAGATAAAGTTATCACATATTATTTTGACACGCATTTACTTTTCTGTTCTTTGCTCGCACTAGTCATTTTCGGTGCCATCATTACAGCTATTTCTGTAATATGGTAGCTGGTACAACTCTTGTGCAAACACACTGAACCGAGTGGCATCCGAGAAGGGTCAAGGTCTCACAGAAATGAACAAAAAACTCAAACTTCAAAACGAGAAACCTCTGGGGAGCTTAAGTACAATAACAGCTTTTAAACAAAGCAAATTTGTAAACAACACAGCTAGGCTTTAGCCTATTTGAACAAATTTGTCTCACACACACACTGATTCCTTTTGAATTAAATTTAATTGAATTGTAAATATTTTATGGAAATTCTGTAATACTTCTGTTCTTCAGAAGTTATTAATCTGTTCTTATTACTTTTGTTTAATGTCAATATAAAGGCTTAATTCATTGTCCTAAAATCTTCATATATTCGTATGTCATATTTACGTGACCTTCACTTCACTGAGTAGTGTATAAAAATTACCATTAATACTATTTCTGGAAGAAACAGTAAAGGTGCCAAATGATTACTGGCAACATGACAATTCCTGTCATGCCCCTCTCAACCCATATTGTCTCTCTCCTTCCTTTATAAACAGAGCTGAAGATATTCACAGGAAATTTAAGTATCTCCCTGCTGATTACTTTTTCACACCAAAAAGTGAAAGTTCGTAATTGTTCTTTAAAGGTTACATATTCAGTTGAGTGATTTGAAACAAATGGACATTATACATAGGAGAAATGTCAGATTACTACACAATAATTTGTCAAATAAAAAGAAAGTGTTAATTCCATTTCTAAATATAAAAAATATACAGTCATCCTGCTGTGGCTGTATTAGTCCGAAAGCTCTTCAACATTTCCTGGGAGGTCACTTCACACTACCACTTTGAGAATGTTATACTCCCCCCAAAAATTAAAGTGAAAGCAGTTTCCTCCTTGATCAGTGTTAGAGAGGGGTATTTCCAGAGACAGGAATTCCATTGCTTTTATTGGCTGATTTTACAAGTGGATCCGGGAAGGGAAGTCCCGAACCATAGCTGAGCTCCTATATAAATGCCCCAACACAGTGATTCCCAGACTAGAATCTCAAATCAGAAGACCTTGGAGACGACAGTCAACAGGACCATTTCATATCTGTACATCACTGACAATGGTAAGGAAAGCATTTACAATATGCATTTCTATTATTTTAGTATCAATTCATATATGTTCATCCAATTGATATAGTTTTTTAATTTTGCAGGGCGTTTGCGACAAAGTACCTTTGCACTTTTTTGCTTCCCTTGTTCTTATTTCTTCAGGTAAGAAAGTAAACCATTCTAGTGTGTAAACTATACTGAGTAAATATAACCTGTAAACATAGTTCATTCAAAGTTGCAATGGCTTAATTCCGCAGTGCTAAACATATGGAGAGGCACTGAAGGCTGGTCATACCATCCCTCCCACTTCAAAATGAACTGGGAACATGCCAGACAGTGGTGCAGGCAGAACTATACTGACATGGTGGCCATCCAGAACAAAGAGGAGATTTCTCACCTCAACAACTTCCTTCCAAAAGTTAATGGATATTACTGGATTGGCATTCGTAAAATTGATGACAGGTGGACCTGGGTGGGAACTAACAAGACACTTACCAAGGAAGCTGAGAACTGGGCAGATAAGGAGCCCAATAACGGAAGGAATAATGAAGACTGTGTTGAAATATATATTAAAAGAGAGAAAGATGAAGGCAAATGGAATGATGAATCCTGCTTAAAGAAGAAGACTGCACTGTGCTACACGGGTAGGTAGCATTTATGTGTTTATAAGGTGTTGTAAGATCTTCTAACCAATGTATTTTCAATTGGAATGAAAAAAAAAAGTCATTCTGCTGTTTTTGTTGTAAAAATGCAACCATCAATGAATAGTTATGCACTTTTTCTCCCTCAGCGTCCTGCAAGGATGACTCTTGTGTTAGTGGTCAAGGAGAATGTGTAGAAACCATAAACAGTCATACATGCTCATGCTTTAAAGGATTCTCTGGAGAACGATGTGAACATGGTGGGTAATAATTCTACATACTGCTGACTGTTTCTGTGTTGACATTGAAAAGTGAAATGCAATTATTTTACCTTTTTTCTGCTTCTCAGTTGTAAAATGCAAACCAAATGAAGTCACACCAGCAGCTCATGCTAGTGTCCAGTGCTTTCATCCCAAAGGAAATTTCTCATATGACTCTCAGTGTGAATACTCCTGTGAGGAGGGATATGAACTAAAGGGCTCCAGTACAACAAGATGCACTTCTACAACAGAGTGGTCAAGCAAACCACCAACCTGTGAACGTGAGTTTAATTTACACTAGGGAACATTTACATATTCTGTTCAAAACATTTATTTTATTTTATTTTTTATGTCTGTGAATCTTTTCGCAGTTGTTCAATGTCCAGAGCTGATCAAACCACAGAAAGGTGAAATGCGGTGTAATCATCCGATGGGCCAATTCAGCTACCAATCTTCCTGTGAGTTTGTATGTGAAGAAGGATATAAGCTGCGAGACAACAGCTCCTCTACACTGTTCTGTGGAGCAACTGGATACTGGAATGATTCACAACCCACTTGTGAAAGTAAGAAGGGTCATGTTTTTACATAATGTTTAGTTGCAGGTCTGTTCTTAGTTCTTTGAAACTATAGGCATAAGAGTTTAATCATGGTCCTGTTTTTGTTTTTCAGTTGTAAAATGCAAACCGGAGGACGTCACGCCACCAGATCATGCTAGCGTCCAGTGCTCTGATCCTACTGATTTCTCATATGAGTCTCAGTGTGAATACTCCTGTGAGGAGGGTTATGAACTAAAGGGTTCCAGTACAACAAGATGCACTTCTACAACAAAGTGGTCAAGCAAACCACCAACCTGTGAACGTGAGTTTAATTTACACTGGGAAACATTTGCAGATCCTGTTCAAAACTGCAAAAAAAAAAAAAAAATTTTTTTAAATGTCTGTGAATCTTTTCGCAGTTGTTCAATGTCCAGACCTGATCAAACCACATAAAGGTGAAATGCGGTGTAATCATCCAATGGGCCAATTCAGCTACCAATCTTCCTGTGAGTTTGTATGTGAAGAAGGATATAAGCTGCGAGACAACAGCTCCTCCACACTGTTCTGTGGAGCAACTGGACACTGGAATGATTCACAACCCACTTGTGAAAGTAAGAAGGGTCATGTTTTTACATAATGTTTAGTTGCAGGTCTGTTCTTAGTTCTTTGGAACTAACCACAAGAGTCTAATCATAGTCCTGTTTTTTTGTTTTTCAGTTGTAAATTGCAAACCGGAGGACGTCACGCCACCAGATCATGCTAGCGTCCAGTGCTCTGATCCTACTGATTTCTCATATGAGTCTCAGTGTGAATACTCCTGTGAGGAGGGATATGAACTAAAGGGTTCCAGTACAACAAGATGCACTTCTACAACAGAGTGGTCAAGCAAACCACCAACATGTGAACGTGAGTTTAATTTACACAAGGGAACATTTACATATTCTGTTCAAAACTTCTAAACATTTTTTTATTTTATTTTTTATGTCTGTGAATCTTTTCGCAGTTGTTCAATGTCCAGAGCTGATCAAACCACAGGAAGGTGAAATGCGGTGTAATCATCCGATGGGCCAATTCAGCTACCAATCTACCTGTGAGTTTGTATGTGAAGAAGGATATAAGCTGCGAGACAACAGCTCCTCTACACTGTTCTGTGGAGCAGCGGGACACTGGAATAATTCCCAACCCACTTGTGAAAGTAAGAAGGGTCATGTTTTTACATAATGTTTAGTTGCAGGTCTGTTCTTAGTTCTTTGAAGCTATAGGCATAAGAGTTTAATCATGGTCCTGTTTTTGTTTTTCAGTTGTAAAATGCAAACCGGAGGACGTCACGCCACCAGATCATGCTAGCGTCCAGTGCTCTGATCCTACTGATTTCTCATATGAGTCTCAGTGTGAATACTCCTGTGAGGAGGGTTATGAACTAAAGGGCTCCAGTACAACAAGATGCACTTCTACAACAGAGTGGTCTAGCAAACCACCAACCTGTGAACGTGAGTTTAATTTACACTGGGAAACATTTGCAGATCCTGTTCAAAACTGCTAAAAAAAATATATATATTTTTTAAATATCTGTGAATCTTTTCGCAGTTGTTCAATGTCCAGACCTGATCAAACCACAGAAAGGTGAAATGCGGTGTAATCATCCAATGGGTCAATTCAGCTACCAATCTACCTGTGAGTTTGTATGTGAAGAAGGATATAAGCTGCGAGACAACAGCTCCTCTACACTGTTCTGTGGAGCAACTGGATACTGGAATGATTCACAACCCACTTGTAAAAGTAAGAAGGGTCATGTTTTTACACAATGTTTAGTTGCAGGTCTGTTCTTAGTTCTTTGAAACTAACCACAAGAGTCTAATCATAGTCCTGTTTTTTGTTTTTCAGTTGTAAATTGCAAACCGGAGGACGTCACGCCACCAGATCATGCTAGCGTCCAGTGCTCTGATCCCACTGATTTCTCATATGAGTCTCAGTGTGAATACTCCTGTGAGGAGGGTTATGAACTAAAGGGCTCCAGTACAACAAGATGCACTTCTACAACAGAGTGGTCTAGCAAACCACCAACCTGTGAACGTGAGTTTAATTTACACTGGGAAACATTTGCAGATCCTGTTCAAAACTGCAAAAAAAAAAAAAAATTTTTTTTTTTAAATGTCTGTGAATCTTTTCGCAGTTGTTCAATGTCCAGACCTGATCAAACCACAGAAAGGTGAAATGCGGTGTAATCATCCAATGGGCCAATTCAGCTACCAATCTTCCTGTGAGTTTGTATGTGAAGAAGGATATAAGCTGCGAGACAACAGCTCCTCTACACTGTTCTGTGGAGCAACTGGACACTGGAATGATTCACAACCCACTTGTGAAAGTAAGAAGGGTCATGTTTTTACATAATGTTTAGTTGCAGGTCTGTTCTTAGTTCTTTGGAACTAACCACAAGAGTCTAATCATAGTCCTGTTTTTTTGTTTTTCAGTTGTAAATTGCAAACCGGAGGACGTCACGCCACCAGATCATGCTAGCGTCCAGTGCTCTGATCCTACTGATTTCTCATATGAGTCTCAGTGTGAATACTCCTGTGAAGAGGGTTATGAACTAAAGGGCTCCAGTACAACAAGATGCACTTCTACAACAGAGTGGTCAAGCAAACCACCAACATGTGAACGTGAGTTTAATTTACACAAGGGAACATTTACATATTCTGTTCAAAACTTCTAAACATTTTTTTATTTTATTTTTTATGTCTGTGAATCTTTTCGCAGTTGTTCAATGTCCAGAGCTGATCAAACCACAGGAAGGTGAAATGCGGTGTAATCATCCGATGGGCCAATTCAGCTACCAATCTTCCTGTGAGTTTGTATGTGAAGAAGGATATAAGCTGCGAGACAACAGCTCCTCTACACTGTTCTGTGGAGCAGCGGGACGCTGGAATGATTCACAACCCACTTGTGAAAGTAAGTAGGGTCAGGATCAGTGTTGTTTTAGTATTCTTATAGCTTTTATTTTTATAATTTTGTAGTTTTAATTTTAGTTTCATTTTTAGTAATTTTGTTATGTCCTTTTGTCATTTTTATTTTTGTAAATATTACTGCTTAGTTTTAATAAAATTTTTCTTTATAATTTATTAAGCTGTAAACATAAGTGGAATTTATGTTGTGCAAGGCAAAACACATCAGATATATATTTACAAATGCTTTTTAGAAAAACTCATTGGAAAAACTTTTCTTCTTACCACTCAGTTCATCACTGCCCAGCCCTCGACAGCCCTGTCAATGGAGAGCTGAGCTGTACTTTAAGCTTTAGTTATGGGAGCAAATGCAGCTTCAGTTGTGTAGAAGGATTCCTCCTCCAGGGGGCTTCAGAGATCAGCTGTACAAAAACGGCAAAGTGGAGTCATGAACCACCTCACTGTGAAGGTAATAAACAAACTTCTGTCTCATTTATGGATTTACACACACTGTAGAAAAAGACATGATAAATAAGTCATGACAACATATGTTTTTACATTACTTCAACTCTTTAAAATAAGTTAAGCCATTTTAAACTTTATTTTTTAAGTTATACGAGATTCAATTCATCTTTCATGTCAGTGTAATGTAATTTAAGTTGCTTACACAGTCAAGTTGATTGTACTTAAAAATTTAAGGCAGCAAGTTTTTTTTTGTTTTGTTTTTACAGAGCAGGTTGATTCAACAAATTGTATTTTAAAACTATAGTTTTATGAATTTTATCATACAAAACACTGTCTTTTTCAACTCTGTAGCAGTGGTCTGTCCACAACTTCCTGAGCCAATCAACGGGCATATGAACTGCTCATCTGAAGAACACACCTTCGGCACCATCTGCACCTTCGGTTGTCTTGACGGCCACCAACTTATCAGGAATGAGATAATGACGTGCAACCTCAATGGGAGCTGGTCAGGGGAAGTGGCATTGTGTCAAGGTAAACAGCTAAACAGCTAACAATGACTGTGTGGGATGCAGATATGTAATTTCAGTGATGAAGTGAGACAGACATTCTAAAGCTTTCGTTTTATCTGTATTCTCAGCTGATCCTGATCCTTCTGCATCACTTATCAAAGCAACAGAAGTGACTCTTGGGGTTGCTGGTATTATCGGCAGCTCCAGTCTGTTAGTCTACTGGATACTGAAGAGACTGAGGAGTAAATGTGAGTCAAACAGCCTACTGAGTTTTTTTTTTTTAAATTGCTACATACGCTGATAACGTATTTCATATAGTTGACTAGAATATGTTCTTCCATATAATTATTTAATAATATACCCCAAATTAACTAAAATGTTAATTTATGTATTTTTGTTTTCAGCTAACAAGTTTGACCTGAACAGGTGAGATATGGCTTATTTAGCAATTATATCCTTCTTTTCTTACATTATTACTGTTGTTATTTATCAATTTATTGCACTTGGTTTATCCATATAGGACTATATCCTGTTTAACTCTGCTTTTGTCTATTTTAATTTTTAGTACCTCGGATATTGAGGATCCACCACAGATTTATAAGAGTGTTGACAGTCTCATATAGTCTCAAACTACACAAGGTGAGCATATATTCCTCATGCACATATACAGGCCAGTATTGCTAATGATAGTGATGTAGTTTGTGAACAATTCATTGAAAAACTAATTCAACTTTCCTTTTCACAGGAATCTATCACTGCTGTATCGCTGGACAGACAAATTCAATTTCATTTCTAAATGATTTGACACTTTTATGTGATAAGATATTCTTTATACTCAATCTGATGGGCATTACCATTTTATCAGGCAACAGTCCTAATTGAATGTGATTTCTACTTCCCAATGGAAGCTTTTATTATGTACTTGACTGAACATATTGTTCTGTACGGTTAAACTATTTCTTATGTTATCAATGTACACTATTTTTGTAGGCCTACTATTTATTGTTCCGAAACAGTATTGGTCAAATTAAACTATTTGAAAGTCAAACTTGGTTGGTTTACATTTACATGACTTAAGTGTTTCAATGCCTTTTCCTCTTTCAGACGAGTGCCTAAATCTTCACTAAAGCATACATTTATCATTTTTCAATATCAAAGTATAAATAAACTTTTAATGTGATTGATAATTTCAGTTGTAGAATGATCAGCAGAATATTTTAATCTTAAACGAGATTGTTCACCATAAAATTAAAATGAAGTCATATTTACTCACCCTGGTGTTGTTCTAATGTAGAATGCTCTTCTTTCTGTTCTTAAAATGTCCCGCTCTCACTTGTCCATACTGGCAGTATAGCGACCATGCATCAAGCTTTTTTTAAAAGACGCAGAAGTGTCACAGAGTGATCCCATCCCGTATATATTCCAAGTGTTCTGGGGTATACGATAGAGTTTGAAAGCTGAAAAACTAACCGAAATGTAATGTATTATTTAACAAAATTCTTGACCTTGCCCATTGGTCTTCTCTGCACGGCTGTAGCGCTCGTTCGTGAGACTATTACCACCACTGTTCACTGTTCACTGTCTCGCCCAGAAAAAGCACACTTTTTGTGAGAAAGTTTAACAAAAACATAACATGAAATACAACCCATGCATCTTCTCTGAGATAAATATATCCATTGTGTTTGTCGTAACAAGTTATTGTGCTCACATCTGTCAACTACTTACCTCAGACAAACTGAGTTCTGGTGATATTTTATTCAGTGACGAATGTACACGTGTTACGTTACTTTTGTTTTTTTTTGTTAATCTTGATTTCTCACAATTTGTAGGCTATGCCTTTTCTTTTTTGGAGTGAACTGCAACGCTAATATTAGCACGAACATCGCGCAGCCGTGCAGAGAAGACCAGCGACCATGGTCAAGAATTTCGCTTAATAATACATATAACATTTTGGTTTGTTTTTCACTAAACCCTATCGTATACCCCCAGAACACTTGGAATATGGCACTTGTCACATGGCATTAGAACAACACCAGGGTGAGTAAATGATGACATAATTTTCCTTTTAGGGTGAACTATCCCTTTAACACCTAAATAAAGGTTGGAATTTATGTCACTGCACCTCTTTATCTTTCCTCACCTAAGTACGATAAACCCAATAGCATTGTAAGTGCAATAAAAGGTTTTGTTTAAATAACCCGGGTCATGTTCAGCTGGTCGCTTCCTGTGACTGCTGTGACTGTGTCCTTCCCTGAAGCTGCGTATTATCAGGAAGTGTAAGTTTGTTATATATTTTTTAGTTAGTTTATACCTTACAGTGGTTAAAGTGTCTCTCGAAATGTACCTCATTTTATTATTTTAATTCTTTTTTTAAATGAAGTATGTTGTTCGATTATCAAAATCATCTAATCATCATGTTCATCTCAGCACCATTCAATGACATGATTTTATAAAAAGATAAATTAACATATAAAAAATGACCAGTCATTTCTAGAAAGTGGCATTCTTTTATTCTCATGTTACATAATGTTTATTCTCTCAAATCTGAGAAGAAAACATCCTGCAATTTAATGCGAACGACCGATATATATATATGGTGGGAAAACCCACTTTGCTTACAGAGCAAAAGAGACTTTGTGTGAGAACAGACTGTTGAAAAGCAACTAGGAACAAAATTCCTCTAACGACAAGTGGTTCAGTCGAAAGGAGTCTAAAGAAGACCACGGTATGTTATGAGTCTTTGCATTTTATTGTAAGCTTTTTGGTTTAATAAAAACCTTTTTTTTTTTTTACTGAATTTATATGCGCAATTTGTCGCTTTTGGCTTGCTTAGTTGGGGACACTTAATATTCAACAATGTAATTGATCTGCCTACATTGACAAAATGAGGCTATATGAGAACTGAGCTGGATGATGACATCATTGTTTTCTCCAGATAGGCTATATGTAGAATTATATATATATATATATACAGTATATAAATACTAAATAAGTACTTTTTTACAACAAAAATTAAACATCACTGACTTAAGTTGGACTATGACGCTATTTTCTCAGATCTGCTGTACAGCAAAAACAAACTTTGCTGTATTAATTAATAATTCATCACATTTATATAGCGCTTTTCTGGACACTCAAAGCGCTTCACATAGAAGGGGGAATCTCCTCAACCACCACCAACACATCCAGTCTATTATTTTCCTGTTATCAAGGAAGTATTATTTTCCTGTTGTAAAGCTGCTTTGAAACAATCTGTTTTGTAAAAATGCACTATATAAATTAAGGTGACTTAACTTGAATTTAATTAAGTGGCTGTTTTTATTGTTTAGACTGGATGTGTTGTGAAGCTTAGAGCTATGTCTGTGCACATAGGAGTTTTCTGGCTGATACTGGGTAAGTGTATTCTACATTCAACAACCTTGAAGAATAAAATAAACTTGAGAAACAGATTTAACTTGAACTTTTCATTTCCAAACATTACAGTCAGTGTTGAAGGATGGACGTATCACTCAAATGACACGTCAATGACCTGGAATGAGACACGGGAGTTTTGTCGAAAACATTACACAGACATTGTAGTGATTGATAATGAAAATGTAATTAAACATTTACTAAAAAAAAAATTGGAAAATAGATACTCAAGTCCTTACTACTGGATTGGACTCAAAAAGATCAATGGCAATTGGACGTGGGTTGCCAATGGACAGATCATGAACTATCAAAACTGGGCAGACAATGAGCCCAACAATGCTCAGTCTGTTGAAAACTGTGTGGAAATGTACACCAACACAGCCAACAATGGCAAGTGGAACGATGACAGCTGCTTGAGAGAAAAGTATCCTGTGTGTCACAAAGGTAGGGAGTCTGAGTTTTTTCATTTATTTCCAGTTTATTGTACATATACAGTATCTTTAAATAACCTTCATGAGTCTAGGAAAGACATCCAGAAGGGATGTTTCTTATAAATCAATATATTTTCTTTCAGCACAATGTCTAAACACTTCATGCAGTAATAAAGGGCTCTGCAAAGAACAAATCGATAACTTCACCTGTGTATGTAAGCCAGGTTTCTCTGGGCCACGGTGTGAAACAGGTCAGAACAAACAATATTTCAACAAATGTAAAGTGGTGAAATATCTAGCTATGAAGTGAAATATATTATAATTTAAATTAGTGGGGGGGAAAAATCAATGTTAAATGAATAAAACTAATTCTGAATAGTTATATTACGAAAATCTTTACTTACGACATTCCTTAAACATGCCACTTTTTCTCTCTCTCTCTCTCTCTCTCTCTCTCTCTCTCTCTCTCTCTCTCTCTCTCTCTCTCTCTCTCTCTCTCTCTCTCTCTCTCTCTCTCTCTCTCTCTCTCTCTCTCTCTCTCTCTCTCTCTCTCTCTCTCTCCAGTCGTGTCATGTGAGAAACTATCCGCACCACCACATGGCTGGATGAAATGTTCCGGTCTGTATGGAAATCATTCCTTCAACTCAAACTGTAAATTTTCCTGTGCTGGTGGTTATAAGCTGAGTGGCACAGCTGAGCTCAAATGCAATTCCTCAGGTGCATGGAACGCACCTCCACCTTCATGTGCAGGTACAATATATATTTCAATAGTATGATTCTGTGTTTGCACTGATATACTGTATCTCTTAATAGATATCAATGCATGCAAGATTGAGTTGTCTTCCGCTTGCAGCTGTGGAGTGTTTTCCCCTTCTTTTGTTTGGTGGTGGAATGATGAACTGCACTGAAGGACATGCCAGCTTCAGATCTGCCTGTAGAGTACAGTGTCCACCTGGACGTTTGCTTCTGGGCTTTACTGAGTTCACCTGCAGAGCTGATGGCATGTGGGAGTCTTCCTTTCCATTGATGTGTGCAAGTAAGGAGTTCGCACTTTCCAGTTGTGTCCCACAGATATGGGGTAGCTATAATGAGAGCATGTTGGTCTTAACAGTGTGTGAAACTTTTTATTAATTTCATTTGAAAAGATATTGGTTATTTACTCATTTAAAAATATCATATCCAAGAAATATTCACCCTACCAACCAGGGTCAATTTTATATATTCCCAATCACGAATATGCAGCCTTGGAAAGAAACAATTTATTATTATTATTATTATTGTTACTAAACTAATAAAAAATAAAAAGTTCCAAAAGGCGTTTTTTGCTGCAATGCCATATAGAAGAACCTTTTTTTTTGTTTCCCAAAGAACATTTCTGTCAAAGTTCTTACAGGAACCATTTTTTCTTAGTGTGAAGAACATTTTAATAATCTGAAGAACCTTTTAAAGCATCTTTTGTGTAATGGAAATGTTCAATGGATGTTAAAGGTTCTTTATGGAACCATCAATGGCAATAATGAACCTTTATTTTTACCCTAAGTCTCTATTTCAACCCCATTAGAGTATGTTTTCATATTTATTTAATACATATAATAATATATTTATAATCTGAATACATATTAATCCTGAATCAATCACACAAACAATTTCTCTTTCAAAAACCAACCGTTACCTTTAAACTATTTTGAGGTTCTAATGAACATTATGATGATCTATATGATGAATGAACCCAATGGTCAAAAACATGATTAAAGTAACCCATTATTTATTTATTTATTTACACACTAACATAATAATGACAATAAAACAAACAAACAATAACAACAACAAAAGAAGAGATCTGAGTATAAGTATTACAGCAAATGAAATGCACTAACACAATCCGGAAATTTGCCCATCAAGAAAATGCTCTTTCCTTTCCTTAATAAAATGAATCCTTTCCAAATGCATAATCTTAACTCTATTATTTTTAAAGGGAATGAACCAACAGTAGTTTTAAAATTTTTATATTAAAAGAATACTTAGAATCTTTTTATATTTTTCCTCAGGTCTTGTCCATTTTCAAATCGCTCTTTTGGCATCTGTTGTCATCTCAGTGTTTTGTTGCTGTATTTGTTGCTCCAACTGCAGAAAGAGTGAGTATAGTGTGAAGTTTTGAAGGATTATCAAATATAAAAGAAATTATTTCAAAGAGAAAAATATATATTTTTTAAATGTTTTCTTTTTCCTTTTTAAATTTGGTTGCAGATAAAATGGCAGTGAGAATGAGGTAAATTGTGTTTACTTTACATTTTCTAGCCAGTTTCACTGATTTAGATGATTTAGATTACAATTAACCATACATAAATCTTACTCCACCATGTTTTCTTGCAGAACTCAACAGGAAATGCTGAATCCAGCATTTGAAGCTGAACACACACCACCTGATGGACCTCTATGTTCAGCATAAAGAAGTCTGACAATAACTGGATTGATGTTAGATTTTTTTTAATTGTCAAATCATCTTCAGTTCATTCTTATTTTTAATACTTTGTATGTGAAAAAACAAAATAAAGTCAATTATCCCATCATTTGCTCAAAAATGCTTGATGTTGTTTATTGTAGCTGTAAAAAAACATTATTCAGTGTGAGCTATAGAATGACATTAAAACTATTTAATATCTGGTATATAACAGTATAGTATACACTGTGCTGTAACTTTTCCTTTAATGGCAGAACTATTACACAATTTCCCATCACTTCTCATGCAATGCAACTGTCTGAATATTGGCAAATCATATTTGCCAGCAATTTCGTATGCATTAAACTGTGAACTTCCTCTCAGCATTCCTCTCAGAATAAATTAAACTGCATGGTTGCAGAAAAGGTAAGATGAACATTCTGCTTTACTTTATTTATATATATTTATAGAGTATTTTTGCATTTCATCAAACCAAAGGGTCCAAATGCTTTTTAGAGTAATATTTTTATATTTATACCCCAAAAAGTAAAAAATAAAATAGCAGATAAAATAATTAATAGCATTTGGATCTCTAGGCCCTTTGGTTTGATGACATGCATAAATGAGAACACAAATAGTGTCTTAATAAACACATATGCATTTCTCACATCCTTCAGATGGTTTTGTGGGTGAATATTAGACTTTTTTCTGGATGTCTTGTCCTTATAACTGGAATTTATAATGGTATGTTCTCATTTAATCTATTTATAACCAAAAAGTTTCTTAAATATATAATAAACTACAAAGTTTCAAATTAAATTGAACAAAATAGCAAATTAAAACGTTGTATATAAACTACATTTTAATGCAACACAACTGTGTTTATCAGTCAAGGCCTGGACATACCATTACAACATAGACACTGATGTGGACTGGACAAAAGCTCGTCAGTGGTGTCAAAAGAATTTCACTGATATGGTGGCCATCCAAAACCAGGCTGAAGTTGCATACCTTAACCAAATTCTGCCCTTACATCCGACATACTACTGGATTGGCATCAGGAAGATTGAAGGCCACTGGACGTGGGTTGGGACCAAAAAGCACTTGGTCCCCGAAGCAGCAAACTGGGCGAAAAATGAACCGAATAACCAGGGAACTGGAGAAGACTGTGTAGAGATCTACATTAAGAGGCAAAAAGACACGGCCAAGTGGAATGATGAGAGGTGCAGCAAAAAGAAAGCAGCTCTCTGTTATTTAGGTGAACACACTTGATAACATGAAATTGATTTAAGTAGAGATTATTTTAAAAATGAATTCAAATTAAAGCTGCTCAATCTGATCAAATCCTTTGTAAGAATATGCTATTTGTATGGTGAGATAATTATTTGCTCTTTAATGCACATTATAGTAATGTAAAATAAGTGTATAATGTATCCATTTCTGATTGAAACCTCAGCACTCATTTGTTGTCATTACACCAGATTTTTCTGTGTAGCCTCTTGTTCAGATAAATCCTGCAGTGAGCACGCGGAGTGCGTGGAGACTATTGGGAACTACAAATGTCAATGCGACCCTGGTTTTAAGGGCCCGCGCTGTGAGGAAGGTTCTGTAGAACCCATTCAAGTTCAGATATCTTCATTGTGTGTTTGTGCATTTTGTCACTAAGTTATAATTCTCACTTTTGCAGTTGTCCAGTGCTGGCCAGTTAAAAGTCCACAGCAAGGTTTTGTGAAGTGTGACGGTGACTTTGGAGCATTTTATTTTAACTCGTCATGCCAGTTCCAATGTTCCACTGGGTTCAAGCTGGAAGGGGAACAAAGGCTACACTGCCTGGCATCTGGGCACTGGGATAACACACTTCCTGTTTGTCAGGGTATGGAACAGAATACATTGCCAGTGCCAATTATGAGTTCACACCATGGACGATAACGATAAACATAGTTCTAAAAAATAGTTCTAGATATAAAAGAATAGCAGAGTCCATATCACAACTATAACAATTATGGCACAGAAAAACAATATTGTTGGAATCACAGTCAAAACGATTTTTTTCCAGTCGATGAACGATAAAAACATTGACACCCAATCAGAATCCATCCTGCTTTAAAGAGCTCAAGCATTTAAAGCGACAGACAACAAAACTGTAGCACTTAGAGAACGATATCATCCGCTGGTGGTAGGTTTCGTTTTCTTTATTTGTCGTTCTTGAGGTAAATTGGCCTTAATAGGCTACTTTGCACAGTAAAAAAGTTGTAAAAAATACAAAGATTATTGGAGTAGTGGACTATTTCTGGGTACAAATTGCCAAAAAATTTTTTTAAGTGTGGGTAGTAAAAATAAGTAGCCTAGATGATTATTATATTCAATTTCTGATGTGTTTAGGTTACTTGTTTAAAATTACATTACCCTTACAGTTGTCCAGTGTCTCCCGATCATTGATGCCCCTGGTGGTTGGAGTATGAACTGCACTCATCCCCTTTCCATCAATAGCTTCAACTCTAGCTGTGAGTTCAAGTGTGAGGAGGGATTTGTCCTCGAAGGCTCAAATACAACTTGGTGTGACCACACTGCGCACTGGACACACAAAACCCCCACCTGCACAGGTACAGCACATCTGCAGAACATTCCTCAATGAATCACCAGGTTGTTGCTGGTTTATACAAGTGCACTGAATATGCATGTTGACATGATTTAACAAAAGCTACATATTGGGAAAAAATATTATCTAAAAACCCAAAAGTTTTTAATATTTCGAGAAGTGCTGAAAGCAAAAGTTGTGCACTTCCTTTTTACAATAGCGCCCTTCCTTTTCGTTCTTGTGAAACGTTTTAATGTTAGGCAACACTGCTAAGACGCACCCAGGATGTGCACTTTCTGTAAAAAATAACACAATAACAGTGTTATATAGAAAGGAGGTGAGGTGATTAAGGTCTTTGTGCGTTTGAACAGACATGGTTAATAATTTAATTGATGTGTTATGCATTTGTTGCAGTGGTGACCTGTAATCCCATTCTGGCCACTGCAAAGAGTCATCTGACATGTGATGATCCATTCGGAAACTTCTCTTTTAGTTCTTCTTGCAATGTTTCCTGTGATGAGGGATACAAACTTAGAGGAAAAGCCACACTCACCTGTCTGAGTGATGGCAACTGGTCAGCAGCCACACCTGCATGTGAAGGTGGGTTTTTGGAGCATACATGATTTCTCAGTGTCATAGAGAGTTATTGAATCCATAATGTGAGCAGTGCTCTTTTACACTACCACAGACTATTTTGAGTCTACAATCTTGCCTGTTTTGTTTTTGGCAGTTGTAAAGTGTGACCCACTGAAGCCCAGCCCACATGGCTCCCTGCAATCTTACGATCCTATGGAGGAGTTTGCTTATGGCTCCACTTGTTGGGTAAAATGTGACTTAGGTTTTGTACTCAATGGTACAAATTCAACTCATTGTACCGCACATGGGAACTGGAGTCACATCTTGTCTGTTTGCCATGGTAACCTGCTTCTTAAACAACACAAACACACACACACACACACACACACACACACATTTATACATATTTTCAGTTTATGCCGTAGGTCCAACAGATTCACTTTATGAGTTGCTTCTGATTTTCCCACAGCTATACAGTGTCCACCTCTCTCTAATGCACCAAATTATGGAAGTATGAGCTGCACACACCCCCTCTCCAACAATAGCTATAACTCCAGCTGTGAGTTCAAGTGTGAAGAGGGTTTTGTGCTCAAAGGTGCAGATTCCACTCTCTGTGACCATACTGGGCTCTGGACACACAGTACACCTATTTGTACAGGTTTGGCATCAGTTCATATAATTCTTGTTGACCTAATACCATTAAACTACTGATGAAATGATATTCACTCTTAGAAAAAAAGGTTATATAAGGCGCTTCATATATGGATCCTTTTAGGGGTTCCCATCATATATTAAATATATTTTATTATCTCATTTAAAATTTAAGCTGTGGCTTGTGACCCTCTTGTGGCCCCTGCACAGAGTCACCTGACCTGTGCTGATCCATTGGGAAAGTTCTCTTTTCGTTCTTCTTGCAATGCTACTTGTGAGGAGGGATACACACTAAGAGGAGAATCCACACTCACCTGTCTGAGTGACGGCAACTGGTCAGCACCAACGCCTAAATGTGAAGGTAGGTTTAAACCTATTTCAATAAAAAATACATTAATTCTTCATTTTAAATCCTTACATTTTTGATATATACCATGAAATTCATGTTACGTTATAAAATTGAGTGAAAAAGTGATTTAACTAGTAGTTCTAATAGTATGGAGACACTAAAGTTTGGCATCAGTTCATATAATGAACCGGAACTACAATGATGATAAGGTATCAAAAAAATATAAGTAAAGAACAAAATATAAAATGTACATATTTAAATAAAATAGCAGGCAAATCATTAATTATAAATAAATACAGCGCATTAAAACACAAACTTTAGTGAAATAAATTAAAAAGGTAGAACAAGTTAACTGAACTAGGCCTAATCCTGGTTTAATCTAAGCCCTGTCTGCAAAACCAGACCTTAGAGTTCTTAGAAGATAAAATAGTTTGGATGTAAGATAAGAGATTATTAATAAAGTCCTCTTTATTTTTTATAAGCCAACCCGTCCATGCTTAAGGAATAGAGAGAAACCCAAAAGCACATGGCAATTGATAAACTTATAAAATTCAATCCAAAATAGCTGTATGAGGGCAGTTCCAATGCGAATGTTTTCTCGTGCACAAAATGATTTTTATAGTTCATATGTTCAAGTTGTCAGTTACGTAGAAGTTTGAAAAAGTTTTTTTGTCATGTGCACGCTAAAGTTTGTGTGTGTGTGTGTGTGTGTGTGTGTGTGTGTGTGTGTTTTAATGGAAATGTGGCTGTTGGGGCTCTGTAATATAGGTCTAAATAAAAGACCAATTATTATTTGTAAAGATAAAATATAATATATAGCTCATTAACCCTATTACTAGATGGCTTCTGAAATAGTTATTACAGGACAACCATACACATCTGTGTTGATTTGCTAATAAATCCACATGGACTAAACCAAAATATATATTGTCCTGTTGCAGCTTGCAAAAGTCATCAACAGAGCAACACCACACATTCACAATGATTAAATAATTACATCAGCATAAACATGCTCTCATGCCGTTTTATACTCTTTTCAGTTATAAGATGTGGTGCTCTGGAGTCTTTTCAGCATGGCATTGTGCAGTGTCAGGACCGCTTGGAGAACTTCAGCTATGGCTCCTTGTGCTGGCTGGAGTGTGGAGCTGGATTTACTCTGAATGGAAGTAATTCCACTTACTGCACATCAAAAGGGAAATGGAGCCAAAACCTTCCTGATTGTCAAGGTTACCAAACACTCTTGATACTCTGTGATGGTTAAATAGAAAGGTTATTGAGGGAGGTAATTGGGTCTCCAAGAGTATTAGATCTGACAAAACAGACAATAGATAAGTTATTTGTATTGCCACCTTCTCCAGTCCTGCTATCATAAATAAAGAACAAAAATGTAGCACTGACTTCTTCAATTTACTATAAAGTCATGGACAGTAAGGCTTTATCATATATCTTTTGATTCTGTCCAATAGCACGGCAGTGCAGCCTCTTAATCGACCCTTCTCATGGGACTGTAACCTGCACGCATCCTCACGGGAGGTTCAGCTTCGGTACAGTGTGTGAAGTAAGCTGTCAGGCAGGCTTCAAACTGCATGGCACACCCCGAATGGAGTGCTTGGAGATGGGGAAGTGGACAGACACCCCACCCTTCTGCTTGGGTAATCACTTTTGGGTCTTCCTATTTCACATCAGGCATGCTCGATTGCATTGATATCCAGTATTCATCTCTGTCACCCCATTAAAACAAAATGAGATCAAACTAACCAACTTGATGTAAAACTTCATGTCATGAAGTTTGACCCAAGACGGCCGATTAATGTATCGTTGACATTTATTTATTATTGTCCATAGCTCAACAGTGCCCCCCTTTGACCGCTCAAGAAAATGGCTGGATGAATTGTTCTCATCCTCACTCCCTGTTTAGCTACGGCTCGCAATGCTTCTTGGGATGTAAGGCTGGATTTGAAATTACAGGAGAGCAAGGCATGACGTGCTCTGCTTCTGGGAACTGGAGTCAGGAGATGCCCTCTTGCACTGGTATCTACCTTTCGACAAAAATGGAATGTTCCCATTTGGTTGATTTTTCCATTCTTAACATTAAAGGAACATTCTCTTTAGGTTCTATTTTTGTAACCATAAAATAACATTCTCATAAAGTTGCAGGGAGGTTTCTTTTTTCTGAAAATCTAATAAGAACTACATAAGCAAACCAAAAAAATACATTCCCAGAATACCAAAAATTGTTATATAGGCTTCCCCTGTTAAACACTGATGAATATAAATGATCAGGCCATATCATTTAAAACTGATATTAGTAAGAATACTGGGACATGAAAAACATGAATCACTAAATGCTTTGCTATCGTTTATCTTTTAAATGGCAGCTGTTCGTTGTGAGCTCCTCTCATTCTCTGAACTTCCTGAGCTGGGACCTCTACCCTCAATGAACTGTTCTCACCCACATGGAAACTTCAGCTTTGGATCTCAGTGTTTTTTCCAGTGTGCCAAGAGCCATAAGCTCAATGGAACCAGTCAGCTCATCTGCACCTCCAAAGGGTACTGGACCAACTCTCCACCCAGTTGCGTTGGTAAGGTCAACTCCTCCTAACCCATCTTTTTTTGGTGCATTAATTCTGTAGAAAAATAGTACTGCATGCACATTACTATATCACTAGCATTACATATTACATTACAAAATGCAGAATGAATAATTACACCGGAAGGCCATTCAAACATTATGAGAGTGGCCTCGTTTAAGTCCAATTTTTTATGCCCTTCCCTCGCTAACTTTCCTCCGTCTCGTTCACTCGGATGTGCATCATTGCTTGCGTTGCATGAGTGCCTACTACTGGCGGAACCTTGGGAGTGTGTTTAAATGTATAGGTTTTTTTCCTTTAAAATTAGTTTGAACTCCATTCTATAGGTCTGTATGTATGCTGTTAAAAAAAATTAAATATTACTATATTAATAAATGTATATTAAATATAAATGTAAAAAAATCACAAATGAAAACAATACAATATACTGTGTAAAAAATATTCAGCTTAAGGTAGCTACAAATATTAAATAACTCCAATATCATACACTAGATTGTGTGGGGTGGGGTAAATAGAGTGGTACATATGACGTCACTTTGTAGGCCAACCGGCAGTTAACATCACACTGGTTCCCTCGAGAAAAAAACAATAGGATTTTCCCATAGGCTTTTGGATTATTGCTAAAAACAAGCTCTGTGATCAACAAACGTTTATGATACTTGTACGTTTTGTCAATCAAGATAAATATCACAGATGAACAGAACTTTTATGAATTTTGAAGCCTAAATGCAGTCGCCAGAAGTACAAAGCTAAAGGTAGGCCATAAACGAACTACAACACGGTCACACAAATTCAACGTCACCATCACTAAGCTTCCGACAACTCTTTCAGTTTTAATCTAAAAACATTTTCCAGAATGTTTGAGTAAGAATAGTTTATAAGAGCACAATTATAAGAATAACGAGGCTGTAAAAGCGGACTGAGTTTACCTGTTCGGCGTGATGATGTTTAATCTCCTCGACAGCCTCTATAGTCCCATTTAGCCAATTGTTACAGCTTCAAAAAATCACGAGTGAGGTAATATTGATGTATGTTATATTGTAAAATAAAACGTGAAAGTGTCTTGAGCTTGTGTTCACCACAAACCTTATTTTATCCAAAACCCCATTTAAAAGTGCTAAAGTGCTAAAATGTATTTTGGCCTACAAAGTGATGTCATACCTGCACCACTCTATTAAAGGGTTAGTTCTCCCAAAAATGAAAATTCTGTCAGTAATTACTCACCCTCATGTTGTTCCAACCCCGTAAGACTTTCGTTCATCTTCGGAACACAAATTAAGATATTTTTGATTAAATCTGAGGCTTCTATGTTATTGAAACTCGCCGGCCCAGAAAAGTTAGTAAAAACATCGTTAAAATAGTCCAAGTGACTACAGTGGCTCAACCATAAGTTTATGTAACAGCGCAGCGCTTCTGTGTTGTACGTCACACGCATCACAAACATGACCAGCGTCGGCCAATAGTGAGCCTACATTCTGACATACAACACAGAAGCGCTGCGCTGTTACACTACGTGAACTCACTCAGAGGCCCACAGAGATGAAAATGAATAGTTGAATAAAGTTGTTATTTTTGTTTTTTTTGCTCACAAAAAATATTCTCGTCGCTTGATAAACTTATAGTTGAGCCACTGTAGTCACTTGGACTATTTTAACGATGTTTTTACTAACTTTTCTGGGCCGGCAAGTTTCAATAGCATGGAAGCCTATGGAGGAGTGAGACAGCTCTCAGATTTAATCAAAAATATCTTGATTTGTGTTCCGAAGATGAACGAAAGTCTTACGGGGTTGGAACAACATGAGGGTGAGTAATTACTGACAGAAATTTAATTTTTGGGTGAACTAACCCTTTAAGCGCGACCTGTGTGTGTTTTAAAAAGTGTGTTTTAATATGTTTAGGCCTATATTTAAATCTAGTTCCTACATAATTTTTCTATACATTGCCTCACTGGGTACTCTAACCTGCAATATGCCCTTTAAAATGGCAGTACATAGGGAAGCTTGTGAGAGTAGTTAAACGCACTCAGGGTTTCTGAAACTTGGATTTGTGAACCCCTGGCGGTTAATGAGGGAACTGCAGGGGATTTATGCGTTGAACCTCAGAACTTTCAACCTCAGAGAACATGCACGTGGGTTGTTAAAGGTGGGGTATGTGATGTTCTTTTTTGACCATTTTTTCAAAATCACTTGAAATCCTATTCCTAACCCACTCACAGCCACTGAGTTAGAAGCACTGAAAGGAAAATTAAGCAATTTAATCATCTGTGGAACGGCCAGGACTCGAAAAACTCCAGCCAATCATTTCCAAGACCACCTAGAATCATTGGACAGTCAATCAAACGGTCGTACCATACCCCCCTCCCCCCACCCCCCTCGCGTGCGTGTCCCCTTCGTGCGCATACTCAAAGCTCGTGACCCAGTCACAGTAAGTGCAAGTCGCCCCGGTACAGAGAGAGAGTAAGTTTGGAGAATGATTGCGCGTCCATGTTCTTTCGAATGGGTGGAGTCAGGGCCAGCGTTGGAGGAAAGAAGGTAGGACCTTTTGAGTTGTGTATTTTCAAAATCTGCCGGCCGTTTTGCAAATCCCATACCCTACCTCTAAGTTAAAATCTCAGGGGACACTTTAAATCAATATTTTATGTCAAAGGGGTTCGGGTGTCAAAAAAGTTTGTGAATCTCTGCATTATAACATATTTATTATGTGCTTTCAGTACAGGAGATGTCAGTGAGTGCCGGCATGCTGATGTATGCAGCTGTGGGAGTTGCTTCTTCAGCTGGACTACTTTTGTTTGGAGGACTAATTTTTTTGTTGATGCGCCAATTCACCAAAAAGGGTAAAAAAATTACTGTTCTTTTTTATAAAATCCCATTCCACTGTTGGCATAAACTATTAAAAAGTGTAATTTAATAGCATTCGATAACAACATTACTTGGTTGGTATTTGACAAATGCCTCAAGTCGTTCATTGTTATATTTAATTATTTCGTGGTTGCAAGGTTGTATGTTTAGCTTTAGTAGGTCAATTTAATTTAGGTTATTGTAATAAGTGTTATACGTATTGGAATGATGTGTGTTGCTCTAATGCAACAAGGACCAATACAGTAATTTTCAGGGACTACGAACTCATGCCATTCCAAACCATGTTCCAAACCTGTATGACTTTCTTTCTACTGTGGAACATAAAAAAAGATATTTTGTAAAGGTCTTTGTGTTTTTGTATGTTTTGGTCCATACAATATAGTCAATAGCCCCTTTCACACATTAAACCTGTTAATTTACCGTAGAATTATCAGATATACATTTTTGATAAATACACAAAATTGCTGTTCGCACAAGCAATGACGTTCTGTCTTTTTATACCGGTAAGATACCATTCACACATCAGTACCAAAATAACGGTAAACTCTGTCAATTTTACCGTTAACCGCAAATCTTTCATCACCTGGATGACAAGAAGCGTTTAAGTTTCTGTCACAGTCTTCGTCTGCACCTGTCTGTCTTAGTCATCTTCACTACACTTCCCAGAATCCTCCTCGTCTCCACACCTGTATTCACTCCCTCACTTACCAGCCTGTCCTTCGTTATCATCATCAGTGTCACCTGTTTTCACCTTGTTATGTCTGATTCATGCTTGTATTTAGTTTGCTTCTGTTCAGTCTGTCCTTGTCGGTTGTTAAAGTTATATGGTTGTGTTTAGTGTGTGTTTCTGCCCGTCATTCTGCCTGCCTGTCTGTACCTGTGAGTTTGTTCAGTAAAACTGTTTGATTTGGAGCTTTTGACTCAGCCATCTTCTTCTACCCGCACAACACCGTGACAGAACAACCGACCACAAAATGGATAAAGCGGGTGAGATTTTGTGCTCCATATTCCAAGATGGCCGTAAGATAGAGTCTTACCTAGAGGAGTTCCTGGAGTACAGCCATCTAACTGTAGCAACGGATCAGCAGTTGATGGACTTATTTTGGAGTGGTTTAGACCCCCTCTTCAGTTCATGGATGCCACCAGGAAATCCCGGTATGACCCTTGAACGGTATCTGGACTATGTGCTTTTGTTGAGCGGCTCAGCCTACACTGTGGGTGAGGCTGATTGTAACATCACCGCTCAACCACTGTCACCAGCCTCCGTCACCACCCGTCCTGAGTCTCGTCCCGCCGAGACTATCCAGCCAGAGCCTCCCGTGTCGCCCCGAGCCCGGAAGAATGTTTCAAACAGCATGGACCTGGGGGCTAAAATGGCGGATCCTGCACTTAAATCCGTCCGATCCGCACTGAAATCAGCTTCCCTTCTCCAGTCCTCAGTGGCAGGTTTTAATTCAACCTTCTGCACAGAGCCCGCTGATCCCGCTGATCCTGCGCCAGAGACCGTCCAGCCAGAGACCGTCCAGCCAGAGACCGTCCAGCCAGAGACCGTCCAGCCAGAGACCGTCCAGCCAGAGACCGTCCAGCCAGAGACCGTCCAGCCAGAGACCGTCCAGCCAGAGACCGTCCTGCCAGAGACCGTCCTGCCAGAGACTTCTTCCTCGTTGGTTCCGCCCAACCCTGCCGAGCCGCCTTCACCGCTGGTTCCGTCCAGCCCAGATACCCCTTCACCGCTGGTTCCGTCCAGCCCAGATACCCCTTCACCGCTGGTTCCGTCCAGCCCAGATACCCCTTCACCGCTGGTTCCGTCCAGCCCAGAGACCCCTTCACCGCTGGTTCCGTCCAGCCCACGGACCCCTTCACCGCTGGTTCCGTCCAGCCCAGATACCCCTTCACCGCTGGTTCCGTCCAGCCCAGAGACCCCTTCACCGCTGGTTCCGTCCAGCCCACGGACCCCTTCACCGCTGGTTCCGTCCAGCCCAGAGACCCCTTCACCGCTGGTTCCGTCCAGCCCAGAGACCCCTTCACCGCTGGTTCCGTCCAGCCCAGAGACCCCTTCACTGCTGGTTCCGTCCAGCCCAGAGACCCCTTCACCGCTGGTTCCGTCCAGCCCAGAGACCCCTTCACCGCTGGTTCCGTCCAGCCCAGAGACTAGTAGTGACTCTGTCACTCTCCCCATTAATTTTTTGGGGGGGGGGCCATAGGGCTCCGCCATGGCCGCCCGAAGGGTCCTCACCGCCATGGCCGCCCGAAGGGTCCTCACCGCCATGGCCGCCCGAGGGGTCCTCACCGCCATGGCCGCCCGAAGGGTCCTCACCGCCATGGCCGCCCGAAGGGTCCTCACCGCCATGGCCGCCCGAAGGGTCCTCACCGCCATGGCCGCCCGAAGGGTCCTCACCGCCATGGCCGCCCGAAGGGTCCTCACCGCCATGGCCGCCCGAAGGGTCCTCACCGCCATGGCCGCCCGAAGGGTCCTCACCGCCATGGCCGCCCGAAGGGTCCGCACCGCCATGGCCGCCCGAAGGGTCCCCACGGCCCTGGCCATGTCCTGCTCCGCCCTGGCCACGCCCATGTCCTGCTCCGCCCTGGCCACGCCCATGTCCTGCTCCGCCCTGGCCACGCCCACGTCCTGCTCCGCCCTGGCTGCCTGCACGTCCTGCCCCGCCCTGGCCGCCTGCACTTCCTGATCCGCCCTGGAGGCTTCCTGTCCCAGTTTGGCCACGCCCTGGCCAGCCTTCAGGGCGCCCGCCCCCCCACCCCATTGATGTTCTACGGCGCGAGGTCGCGCCTTGTTGAAGGGGGGCGTTCTGTCACAGTCTTCGTCTGCACCTGTCTGTCTTAGTCATCTTCACTACACTTCCCAGAATCCTCCTCGTCTCCACACCTGTATTCACTCCCTCACTTACCAGCCTGTCCTTCGTTATCATCATCAGTGTCACCTGTTTTCACCTTGTTATGTCTGATTCATGCTTGTATTTAGTTTGCTTCTGTTCAGTCTGTCCTTGTCGGTTGTTAAAGTTATATGGTTGTGTTTAGTGTGTGTTTCTGCCCGTCATTCTGCCTGCCTGTCTGTACCTGTGAGTTTGTTCAGTAAAACTGTTTGATTTGGAGCTTTTGACTCAGCCATCTTCTTCTACCCGCACAACACCGTGACAGTTTCATTATCTGCCCAATTTGACATTGTTTTTTTATTTCTGAGTGACAGGCATAAGGGGATGATCACACAGAATGTGTTTTTGCTCTTTAAAACACAAGACGCATGATAGTTACTGTATGCAATAGCAACTGCAGAAATATTGGTAAACAAAACGGTTTGATTACCAAACTTTCTCAAAATATCTTATTTTGTGTTCTGCAGAAGAAAGTCATACGGGTTTGGAACAACTTGAGGGTTAGTAAATGATGACAGAATTTTAATTTTTGGGTGAACTAACCCTTTAACTTGTGTCAGTTGTAACAGTAGCCTAACTTAACACACTTTTTCTTCTCCACTGCAGCTCATTACGGTCTGAATGACTCTTCGTGGGAAGGGGATTTGAACCCAGCATTTGAATTCAATTAAAAGACAAATTTACTCAAAATATACTCAATAAAGTGACCAATATTTTCCATGTTGTTTTGTGCTTGAAATAAATGAGTATTTGATTAGAATTGGTGTTTGAAAGAGTCATTTGCACACTATAAAAGATTTTTTTTTTGTTTCCAGCATTGTTAAGAATGTAATATTAGTTAGTGTTAGTGGGTTCATTCCTTAGTGTCTGTGTGGCACCCTTACTAAGTATGTGAGAGACAATATAAACACTGGCAGAAACACCCTGTTGTCCACTCGCTCACACACCCACTGTTTCATATAGCCTCACACTGGACGTGCTGCCCCAGATCAGACACCCAGGCCAGGACGTGCTGCCTCTGGGCACTATGCCCACTGTCACACAGTCTGTAGGCCTCTAGTTGCCCCTTCACCTTGTTCCCTCTGTGAGAGGCTTTAGGGTTAGGAGCTAATGAGCATTTTCTATAGCCATGATGTCTAGGTTTTACAATAGGCATGAGAACAGCTAAGAGTTTTTTTATAGGCTACTTACTTAACAAAAATTCACACTATGTTCACTTAAATGTGATAAAACTAATATGATTTTTGTGAGCTATTTTTTGTAAATTACTTTTGTGAAATGGCGAGCTTAATATTTTAGAGCCTATATTAAGGAATATGCAGTAGCCTACTGCTTAACAAGAATGGCCCTTCTATTTTTTGTTGTTGAGCTCTTCTGCATTTCAGCACAGAAGGAGTTGCACGGGTGCCTAACCAGTCGCATCTGTCCGGGCATTAACGCAGCGTGACGCCAATTATATGATATTAAGAGGGAACGGGTCTGCAGCCCATCTTGGCACGAAATGCGTAATAAATAACTGATCAGATGACTGGATGCTTCCTGGCTGCTATCGTAATAATAACGAGGCTAATGCTGCCCGCTGTGACCGTATGATAGCCGTTTGATTATTTTTCGTTTGCTTGGCCTGCCAACTGACAGTATCACGCCAATAAGTGCACGAGAGACTGCGATGCGTGCCAGTGCTGTTTTAAGCGGATTACAGTGACCTGTCCATTCGTCAGTCGACACTACAGTCAGAAAATATTATTTCGCTGATTAGGCTACATCAAAACTCATGTTACGTTCTACGAACACTTAGCCTACATATCACGAGTCTAGATTACAACATTGGTTCATTTTGAATCGGACATGACGCAAATAACCTATAGCATATAGCCTAAGTGTAGCCTATGTGTATCAGATTATTTTATTTTCCATTCTGATTGATTTACACGCGTTTTTGGATTAAGAAATCATAGCCATTCCCATCCCATGGTGTTATAGCCTTTCTTAAATAGGCCTACTGGAACACAGGCCCCCCATTGAAGTGTAGGCTAGCTATTGTCCCCATTATAGGTAGGCCTAGGCCTCTTTTTTCGTTCACATGCTGCAGGGATAACGTGAAAACCCGGAAGAGTAATTCGCTAACCAGTAGGCCTACTGGTTTCCTCGAGATTTTACTAAACGTAATTTATACCTTTCCTTGTTGATCCTGAAACAACATTCTACTCAGATTTGAGGGGTTTACAGTTATAATGTCAAGGCCTCTGACCATTCTTATTCACCTATTATCTCCCTCTGATTTTAGGGATAAATTATGGGTAGGGGTAGGGTTAGGTTTAGGGGCGGGATAGGACTAGGAATATGTTTTCGGACAGGAATGTTGTTCCAGGATCAACAAAATATGTTGATCCAGGACAGAGGCGGCATTTGCAATTCAGAGGTTGCAGAAACAGTTGGAGGCCCCCCATCATTTAAAGGATTAGTTCACCTCAAAATGAAAATTTCCTAATAATTTACTCACCCTAATGCCATCCAAGATGTTTATGTCTTTCTTTCTTCAGTGGAAAAGAAATTACGTTTTTTGAGGAAACCATTTCAGGATTTTCCTCCACACAATGGACTTCAACGGTAAGCAAATTGTTGAAGTCCAAATCAATGCAGTTTCAATTTGAAGAGCTTCAAAGGGCTCTGCATGATCCCAGCTGAGGAATAGGGTCTTATCTAGCGAAACGATCTGTCATTTAAAAAAAAAAAAAAAAAAATGTATAGACTTTTTAACCACAATTGTTGGTCTTGTGCTGGTCTGCGACGCGCCAGGCATTACTTAATCACATTGGAAAGGTCACGCTGGACGTAGGCGGAAGTACCGTTCTGTTGTGAGGTCCATTTAAAGTGAAACATAGCCAAGGCAGCTACTGATCCAGGAACATGTTTTACTTGGCAAAATCACAGTGACCCTTTTGTGTTTTGACGTATTTTGATGTGAGAAACTGCTGCAAACAATTCAGTGTGGGAGTGAAGTGTCCAAGTGAAGAAAAATAATCGCTAACAATTTCAGACCTTTTCAAAAACTTGTTTGACCGATTAGATCAAGAGTGATTCTTTCACAAATCTGGCATCGCTGCCATTCTTTTGAGGATCTGACTACATGGTCATGCGGTGTGTTTTTTACCTGCAAATAAGAGTTGCTCGGAAATTGGACTACACTGTGGTTTAGGTTTCCACGAATGTGGGCAACATCAGGCCAAAATAAATGGAAACATTCTCAGTAACAACCAGTCCTACTCATTTATAATTCTGGAGTGTTACATTTTTATTTATTTATTTTTATATTAGGCTATTTATTATTATTTATCTGAATAATCTTAAAACGAACGTTTGCTCATGCAAACACACTGTTCACCTCACCTCTGCCCTGCAACATCTCCTGACAGGTCCACATGACAGGAACAGACAGTTAAATTGTTCTTGCCCAGTGACTTGTGGCACTTACATCTGGAGGTCTGATATCGGAGTAAGAAATGTGAACCTGGTACAGACAGAAAGAAGGTTCATTGCTGGGGCAAACTTATTGGGGCCCACGTATGAAGGGCTTCCTATCTTTGCAGCATGCCTTACATTTTCACCTGATATTATCCTTAACCTCTACAGTACCAAACTATAATACTGACACATTCCAGAGTAGCAGCCCCAATGGCCTGGCTTTTGGGTGGTCACATACATGCCCCTGAAAATGCAAGAATGCAGCTTGGCTATATATCTGCAACAGAAAATCACAGTATAGGCATTCATGATGGCCGGATGTGCCCCATTTCTGATGCTGAAGGGAGTCTAAAGATCTGGGCGATGATATGCCCTGTGGTGGACCACCATCTGGCTCTGAAAAAGTGCCATAAAGATATGCATAATGATAGGAGGTGCTGAAAGCCTAGACTGCCTATGACCTTGAGTTTGGAAAATGCCAGTTCTCACTGCACGCATAGTGATTGTTTGTGGATTCTTCAATTCTTGCATTTGTTATAAATTACCATATCACTAATCTGCATATCAGAGTAAAAACTCTGCAAATGGCAATTTACATTGACTTGAGTTAACTTAAGCTCTAACAAAGTCAAATAAATTAAGAAACAATCTTGCCAATTCATTGACAGTTTTAAATACATCTTTTTCTCTGCAGCATTTTATTGTAATTCAGTCCAGATTACACACATAAAACAATAAATACAAATTACACAAAGAACATTTTCATCACAGTACATTTCCATTGTCGCCAGTCACCACCCTAAAAACATGCATAAGCAGAATACACACACAAGCATACATACACTTGCACTCTCTCCCCATAAATCTTTCCTGAGCTGTCTGAATGACAATCAAGAGGCAAAATAAGAATCTTGCATTGAATACAATCGGTCAATCGGTGTTAAAAGTGAGGGTTCACTCGACGACATGCAGTCTCCAAAATGGCACAGGTCACTGTCTGTATCATCATAGATTGTGTCACAACCTAAAGAGAGAGATGATAAATTAATGGGATGGGCAAGAAGCAAAGAGTATGCCTATCTCCAGTCCTGTATTTTTGACTGTGAGCCTAGTGTGTTTTATACCATAGGGATGCATGTGGTCTCCAGGCATTTGAGGAGGGGTGAGGCCCTGTCTGAAGGGGTCCAGCTCGAAGCTCTGTGAGTCTAGACTGATATTCTGCTGGGTAAGTGAATATGAACCTGCGCACTCCAGCTCAGCAGGCATACCTCCACAAGAAGGCGCTGTGGTCACACAAATGGCAAGAACAGATTATTTTAGTGCAGTGTAGATGGCTACTTACTTACATATCTTCGCATAAAGGATTAATTTTAAGCCACATAAACGCTTTTCACATAGGCTATAAAATTGTTAACGCCAGATCATTCTAATTTTTTATTTACACGTCTCACATTTTCGTAAACCCCGAATTAACGTTCTAATGTAAATATATGCGGTGTTAGTATTATTAATAATTGGACAAATACATACAGCACGCGACCTGTTTAAAAAACGTCTCGTCTCATGGTTGCGCATTGCTCTTATTTCTACTGTGACTTAGCTAACTTCCAGTTTGACATTAAGAAACTTGTAACGAATAAAGAAGTTTTCTCCGTCCCAATTAACGCGTTTTCCGCCACTCTTTGACTGTTTATTTATTTTTATTTTGTGGGAAATGGTATACAGCGTGAGACATTTCTGAGTGTTCAAAGCTCATGAATATTTAATGCTATTCAGTTTATGATTGGTTGTTGCTAAACAACTGGCCGTTACATTCTGAAGACGGTAGCCTATATGTTCCCCACCTGGATCAACAGATTTTGTTGATCCTGGAACAAAATTCCAAATACTTAGTCCTAACCCTATCTCTATCCCTAAACCTAACCCTACCCATATCTTCTCCCTAAAACCAGAGGGAAAGGATTGGACAGTAACACTTAGGCCTAAAATTGACATAAACTGTAAACTTGTCCCTCAAATCTGATTGGTTGATTGGAATGTTGTTCCAGGATCAACAAGGATGTTGTACTTGGTGAAATCAGTTCACTGAAGAGGGAATCGTTTACATAATATATAGGGTTAAAGCTGTGCTTATTACAAGTGTGAAACGTTACTTTAAAAGTGGGGTTTAAAAAGAGAATATAACCTGGGGTGAAGCAAAGTGTAAAATTGTTGAACTCTGTATACCAGTGTGTTGTGATTGGCTATCCCTTTTCTCCTGAGAGGACACGCTTTGCTTCTGCTGCTGTTGTCTTCTTGCCAGTTTTTTCATCTAAAGAGACAATGTGTGTGAAAGAGAATCTTATAGCCTAATAAAAACATGTCCATGTTCACATATAGAAATGAGAAAACTAATAAGAGAAAATCTCTTTGTAATGTGAGGAAAGGCAGAAAAAAGAACACCACACTGAAAGGAAATCCAAGTCTAATCTACGGGGATCTATACATAATATGTCATCAGTTTCCTATGAGGCAATAACATAGCTTGTTTCCTTATTGGCAAGCTCATATACTGCAGAAAGAGATCTGTTATCAATTGCATAAGTTGATGTTCTTTCAATGACTGTGTTTGTCTGTGTCGGTGGGCATCACATTACCTTGGCTCTTTGGTTCTGGAACCAGACCTGAACGACTCGTACGCTCAATCCTGTCTCTGCTGCCAGGGTCTCCCTTACCTTACAATAGAGAGACAGACAGAGAGAAAGCCATAGTGTGACCTTCATGGTCTATGGGTCATGTAGGCTAACTGATGAACTGACCCACACTAGAGTATCAGATCAACAGAGATAAATACATACAGTACTGCTGTCCAGACCAGCTGTGGCTACACAAAAACCTCCTTCACAAAATTTAAAAGATAATAATTTAAATAAAATGTAAATGTATAGGAAATGTGTTATTAAACTATTAAATTAAAGTATTATTTTATATTTCATGCATTTTATATTAATTTATTATTATTATTATATTTAATTTTCAGGCTGTCTGTTTTAATGGCTGACCTTTCGACATGGTTTGGATGAGACCTCAAAGGAAGCTTTGAAAGCACGTCTCTGCTGTGTTGTAAGGATGGTTCGAGGCCTTTTAGGCCTCTTGTGTTCCACGTCTCCTATTGTGTTAGACTCCCCTGCAGTCCTAATGTTGTCTTCATCATCATCATCCTCAGCATCTTCACTTTTACCTATAGTTAAGGAAACATTTTTGTAGTGCCATAAAAGATAATAAACAATAATAATATTAGTGATAATAATGAACTGAAATTGAAATAAATATTCTATATTCTTTTATTTATAAAGCACATTTAAAAACAGTCCCAGGACTGACCAAAGTGCCGTACAAAGTCAAGTAATCAAAACAAAAATAACACATAAGAAAATAAGAGCATCAACCTGTTTTAAAAGCTAAAGAAAACAAATAAGTTCAAGAGAGTTTTAAAAACTGTTACTTAAGTATCAAATCATGATTTCTGAAAGATCATGTGGCACTGAAGAGACTTTGCCATTACAGGAATAAATTACATTTTTAAAATATATATATAAAAATAGAAAACCTATTTTAGAATATAATATACCTTTATCATAAAAGATTGGTATATATTATATTAATATATTCTGTTATATTATTGATTAATTTATAGCATTATACCATAGTACTTTATTAATATAATTTATTCATTTATACTTTATAGGCTACTATATACTATTTGTATTTATTATTATTAACAGTACTATTTTAATACATATAATCAATTTCATTCTTTAATCTAGTCTAAGCATTGCTGTGCCTGTGAATGTAAGGTGTACCAGAAGAAGCCAGAATCCTCTATTTTTTATTTATTTTTTTAAACAGTGGTTTTCAGTCCTGGTATAAAGGACCCAAGCACTGCTCATTTGGGACGTCTCCTTTATTTACCACACCTGATTTATATAATTAGATCATTTACAGAGGCACCATGACCTTACTGAGTGTATAAGGAAGGCATGAGCAGTGCTGTGGTTTTAAAACAATACCTGAGTCGGAGGTGGTTGGGCTGGCCAGTTGGTTGTGATAGTCTCTGGCACAGAAAAGCCTGTCCCCTGTAAGCACACATCGGTCTCCCTTCTGCAGCCTGCAGGCACACACACAGCAGCAGAAACACCGCAGGTGGAAAACCGCAGGGCCTGCGTGCATCACCAGCTCGGCCGGAGAGATGATCTCTGCGCAGCCCTTGCACCGTACTAAAAACAATCTGAAAGGATAAATAATATGCATTTCTCAGAATCGCTTGATGAACAGCATAGAATTATTTTATTCTTTTAAAACCTAACAGTCAAATTTACTTAAGTTCCTTTTACTCAAATACTGAAAGGTCATTGTACTTAATAAGAGATTTTACGCGAGCTCAATAACTGATAATATTAAGCAGAACTCAAACTGAATGAGTTTCCTCCATTTTCCCAATATGCTTTGCTTCAGACTGTCAAAGTCAGCAAGTCTTTTCTTCCCTATTGTGATGCATCTAAGCGAAACAGCTTCTCAAACAAGAAGAAATGTTAGACTCGAGATTTGATTTTGTCCATCGGGAATGGACTGGATCGTTGAATTGTTGTCATTTGCTATTGTTGTGATGTCATGTGAGTGACAGGTTGTCCCGCCCTCACGCCAGTAAACACGTCATCAGAGAAGAGGTGTCGTTGTAAGAGGAAGGGGAAGTTATTTTGATTAAAGATTAGGAAGGCATGTGAATTAAAAAAAAATGATGATATGCAAGGATAAATCATTTATAATTCACTGTACTCATTTAAACCTAATTGGTTTTCTCAAATGGTTTGAGTTTCCTTAACTTGTTGAGTTTTACAGTGTGCCATCAGAGATTCCAGGAATGTTGCTGAGTCGCCCCGTCCATCAAGGAGTCAGACAAGAACTTGCCATGTCCCCTCCACCCAAAAACAAGCATGCAGACGCATACCTCCAGCATGGTGAGTGTGCGTCTTAGCGCCTGGCAACTAGAGCTGGGTTTCAGTGGGTTAGACAGAGGCGGCCGGCTCCACGACTGTGTCCGGGGCAGGACTCCCGGGGAGGGGGGAGAAAGGAGCTCGGCAGGCCGTGGCTCCAGACGGAGGGAAAGAATCACGCCACCCGGCGGGCGAGGCTGGTCCAGGGAATGATCTTAACTCGACTTAACCAAGCCCAGACAAAAGAGGGAGCTGGCCCAGAGCCTCACTGCCATTGTACTGCCTTGGCAGACTCCACATTTTCTGTTTGTCAAACTGGCCTGAGATTTCCGTGCCCGGAGGGGGGTGGAGAGGGGAGCTGTATGTTTAAGGTTTAGGGTGAGCGTGACAGGGAGGCTTAGAGAGAATCATCCCCAGAGGTGTGACAGCTTCAGACTTGGGCTGACAGGTTACTCCTTTAAGCATGCAAGACAGACACTAAAGGAAAAACCATTGTTTTTTCATGTACTGCTCAATTTTGAGATATTGGGCTATTTGGCTTCCATAACATGTTCTCTTTCAGACTAGTGGAAAGTAGACATATTATCTATTTGCATTTGTAGAATTCAATTACAATACATATCTTTAAAGTTTTTTTTTTTTTTTTTACTTTCCAGTTACATATACTTTATCTATATTCTGAAGGCTTTTACAGAGAGATTTGTTCATATAACATTTGCCTGATTTATATCAAATTTTATTCCTAAAAACGTGGTGAACGTATTTTTTTCTGGCTGTTGACAGTATTTTCTGACTTATCCAACATCCCGTAAAAAACTTTTAACACTAATATGTCAACAAAATGAAACAAGAATTCTGAACCATTGGGTTCAAACAATGTTCAGATTTTTGTTCTGGAAGTGTATGCAAATTAGCACATATATAATTAGATAATGCTTAATTTGCATATTTAAACAACATTTCAGAAAACTTGCAATAGAAAAACAATTGCCATAAATGTACAGTGATTAATCAACTGGGGTTAAGGATGGTGATATGTATTAGTTTTATATTTACCTGTGGTGTCTTGCTTTAAAAGGACCCCAAGTTTTAATTTCAGTCTCTGACATTTGGATTGAACTCATCAAACACTGTTTCTTTAAATGACAGTGCTGTGATTACTGTATGTTGATGCATTAAAGATAATTGTGTTGCTACAATTTGTACCAATTATAGGCTTTTGGCTATTGATCAGTGGGTGATGTTGTTTATATGTGTATAAGCTAGGTGGCATGGGAGCATTGCACTGTTCAAGTAGACAGCAAAAATTCTTCCTCCTTCGTAAGTATGGATTGAAACATCCCAAAGCCTTGCATTGTTGAGAACTATTAGTGTTGCCCTGGGGTTGCTGGGGAAACCGCTGCGAGTTCTTTAGGGTTCAGTAGGAGAGACAGAAAGAAGTGTTGCCCGCTACTCCATTATATGCAAGAGCATCTATGGTGTGTGAATGCACAGCAGAATATGTCAATAGCATGTTTGTATTATCATTGGAAGCAATATGACACATGCTTCAAGATATATTTAGATATAGAGCTATTTAAAAATTGCATTGACAAGATAAAAAGTACCGCTATTTTTATCAGGAAGCAGCTATGTTGCTTTAAAAATGTTGATTCCACTATTTGTCCCACCTGCTCTTTAGAGCCTGATTCTTTTGGACAACAAACTAGAAATGTGTACATCATAATATATCATAATATATGTAATTTAGCATTACCATTAATATTAATATTAATAAAACGCCATTATTACAATAAACGTTTTTTTTTAAATGTTAGAATTATAAATGTATTAAGACATGGTTAAATTGATCAAAAGTAAAGCCTTTCACATTGTTAAACACAATTTCTATTTCAAATAAATGCTTTTCTTTTGAACTTTCTATTAATTGAAAAATTCTGAAAAAAATAACCCTAACTAACAAAAATGTTAAGTAGCATAACTGTGATAATAATAAGAAATGTTTCTTGAGCATCAAATCAGCATATTAGAATGATCATGTGGCACTGAAGACTAGAGAAATTATGCTGAAAATTCAGCTTTGCCAACACAGGAATAAATTACATTTTAAAATATATTCAATTACAAAACAGTTATTTTAAATTGTAATAATATTACTGTTTTTACTTTATTTTTGAACAAACAAATGGAGCCTTGGTGAGCATAAAAGACTTCTTTCAAATATATTAAAAAGATCTCACTGACCCCAAACTTTTGAACGATAGTGGGTAAATGTTGAACAATGAAGTATCTGTTAATAGAACAGCCTGCTGACCCATTTACAGTAAAGCAGCTCCTTTACCTGGTCAGTAAGTGCTGGGTCAGCGAGCTCCCCACCCCTGAGCCTATAGTTATAAGCACTGGGCTACTGGGTAGGATTGCCAGCCAAGCACCGCGTATGTGGCTAATTGGTCAGGTCGGATATCTCACGGTCGGACGGGCATCAAGCAGGGGCACCACTGGGCACCAACCTATCCAGATGCCTTGACATACTTCACAAACAGAGATCGCCGCAACATGCACCCCCTTCCCAACATGAACACACAAACACTCAATATTCTCTTGCACAAAGCTCTGCTATACCCAGAACATATGGCTCAATCCTCCACTCAGCCTCAGCTCTCTTGAGCACACTGGACACTTCTCCATAATTACTACTTTGGCTGATGGACTCCTAATGTGAAATGCATTATATTTTGCAGAAGTCAGAGCCTTTCTGTTGGAAACTCAAACGTTTTGTCAGCTGGAGCAGATACATCAGCTATATTGAAATGAAACTTTATGAAAACTCAAATAGTGTGCCTTGTCTGTTTTTTTCAGGGTCATTGCGCTCTGTCGTTTGGCAAACGTTTATTATTTATTTATTTGGAGGTGAATGTGCATATGAGTGTGTGAATGAGACTCAGAGTGAGTTTTGGGGGTAGTAGGGGGTCTGCGCACCATGTCGATGTGGCCATATGCTGTCCCCAGCTTGCCGTTGCCACACCGATGGGTCCTGCTAATTTAACACATCTTGACAGTGTGTCAGTAGTGCTGTCCTCCTGATCTAACGGTGTGTGTTTGTGTGTGAAAGCCTTCTCGCATTCCATGGCCCACCGCGACCCTTCCTCCTGCAGTCACCTTGTCTTTCAGGAGTTCTGTGCCAAGTCCCTCAATACGCACGGTCTCTCTCAGACACACACACAAAACACCAACACTCATAAGGTTTACTATATTAATGTAAATCGGTAAACAATTATGTGCTAACAAATTAGTACATGGCTGCATCATATTATATCAGCAAGCATGCAGATTTAACATGTCAGGAATGAAATTTGTTGTTAATTAAAATGTAAAAATAATACTAGAATTGTATTTTAGGCACAAAGTTGCCTTGTCAAAATTAATTTAACAGCAAGAAATAAACCAGTCTGCAACATCCAAACTTTAGAATCAATAGAATAAACACCACTGCCATCTGTGAAGTAAACAGGAATGGAAAGTAAATTATTTACTGTATCATTGCTGGAGTATGTTCAGATACTCAAACCTTAATTTGGCATTATACTTAAATAGTATTTCTGTGCAGATTAATCTTTAAAATGTTCTTTCGAGAATAATGAAAGGAATTTCTGCAGTAAATTAAGCATGATCAAAATATTTTTAAACTAAACTTGGTTATTACCTTAATTTTCATTGAGGAATAGAATAGAGCCTATTTATTGTAAGCCTTAAATCTTTACAAAGGGAATAATCCATTGTAAGTATTGCTAGAAAACTATGGCCATTTTCTATGACCAATTTGTAATTTTATGTCTACAAGGAAAGACACATATTTGGAATATTTCTCGCAGTAATCCAGTGCAATCAAATTGTTTTCGTTTTCTAAAGACAGTAACAAATATTTTAAATGAGCAAATAAATACAAGTTATTTATAAAAAAAATAGATCAACAGTAAAGAAATGTATGCGAAAAATTAAGATCATAATATCTAGGTTACGAGCGTGCTTCGTCTGACTGGAAGAAACTTCTGACTACCGTGGACTCACTTACTTCACCCTTTTCCTATTGAACTTTAAATAGTAAGTCAAATAGTATCATAAAACGAAATAATTGTTTACACAAATAGCAGTAAGTAGAGTCTTACTTCTGGTAGTCTCGCTTGCAGTAGAGTGTCTTATTGCGGAGGAAGCAGGTGTCTTTCAGAGGCTCGCGACATGATGCGCAGTGCAGGCAGCGCTCGTGCCACAGTCCGTCCTGCACGCGGAGCAGGTACCTGTCCCGAATGAGCTCATTACACCCCTCACACACGCTCTTTCTCCACATGTCTGAAAGAAACACCAACCTTTAATCCATCTAGGTAACTTAACTAAGTTAATTCAAAAATGTGAATGGTCTTTACTCTTTAGGAACTTCCTGGCATAGCCTATGGATAATTAACATGCGATATGGTTTTGAAACTGATATGACAAATGCCATCCTTTTGCAATGGGAGTTATCCCGAGAAAATGTAAAAGTAAAATAAAAATAAAAACAAATAAAGTGAATTCACTCACGAGCTTAAGGCTATAACAAAAACAATAACAGAAATACTGTGAACAGATGTGATTTGATGACGTGTCTCGTTAAAAATAATAATTTCCAATGTCCATTAAGATTATTCATTCAAACATAAAAAACGTGTATCTTTTAACTGAGCGAAATCACAATACTTATGTAGTATGCTCTAGCATCAATTACTGTATTGCATAGGCTATATTTCACCATGTTTGTTCAACAACAGACGGCTTCTAATATAGGCTACATGACAAAACTTCCCAAAAACTTTAAAAGATGCAATATTAAACATATACATGCACTTACCATTGAGGAGAAAATATCCGTTTGCAGCCCTGTGTAGCTTTCGACAGATGCTCAGATAGTTAGATAGTTGTAAACGCGCACAAAAGCTCCATATGAAAATAAACCTGAGAGTCAGTTTACCTTCTCTCTCTCTCTCTCTCTCTCTCTCTCTCTCTCTCTCTCTCTCTCTCTCTCTCTCTCTCTCTCTCTCTCTCTCTCTCTCTCTCTCTCTCTCTCTCTCTCTCTCTCTCTCTCTCTCTCTCTCTCTCTCTCTCTCTCTCTCCTCCCATCAAAAGGTGGAGGGTGCGCAGTAAATGTAGGGCCTACAGGCATAACTTTACAACTTATGATGAAAATGGCAAAATTATATGAAAAACTTGAATTTTTAAAGTGAGTGTACAACTTAATTTAAATGGGTAAATGAATCTCCCTCAAGCATGAAATAAAGCAAGCGTGAATTTTGAACCATTATGCTTTGTTTGGGTCTGAGGTAGGCTACCAAAGGACAAAGGCCATTTCAATTAGGCCTACTTAAAAAGAAACATGCTAGGCTACTTACTATGGAAGTATCACTTATTGAAATTTTATAACAACTGATTATTAACATATATATATTATTATATATAGGAACGTGATGGTTCAAACATGCCCTGAAGAATGTTACATTAATTCAGCTCTGGGTCAGAAATATGTGTAGCTAATCTAAAGCATATAAATGCAATGCATTTGACACAGATACAAGCAGTGCACTCCTTTTCTACAATTTGTTCTGTATAATATAGCCTCACTTTTCTGTAAAGTGCAAATGTACTTATACAAAAGATGGGTTTAAGATAGGAATTAGATCAGATAAAAATATAAAAAAATATCTGAAAAATAGGTTCATTTCTAAATGAATGTTTCTTTTTTTAAATTTTTTACATACACACCATTGTGGTGATCTGAAACATATAAGTAAATTTCAAACATTTGTTTTGAGTTGACCAGAACAGGGTCAAATAGGCTATAAAATTGTTTATTTGAATTTTAAAATAAATAACTGAACTTAAGACTGATGATTAGTGATTTATATGACTGATTAAAGACTAATTTATATTATAAATTGACATGTTTTATTATTTTAAACATAATGTACAGTACATATTATATGATGTAACATGAGCTAATGAGTATGACTTTAAAAAAAAAAAATTTAAATGTACTTTTTAGAAATTCATTCAAAAGATATTTTTGGGTAAGTAATCTTACATGGTATTTTCCCATTTGACAGTTTAAAATGGATTAGCAAACACAGCATTTGCGCACTTAAAATGAGGAAGCCAAAACAGTCGTGTTATAAACTTCTTATACTGTCTATGGTTATAAAGTGAAAGTTAAATTATGATTTGTATCGTTAAATGGCGCCATCTAGCGGGCGGTGCTCACTAAAACAGATCATGTTAAAGGGTCACTCCACCCATTTCAACATTAATCTTTATTGAAAGTGGGTTATATATGTAGTCGAAATGTAAAAGAAATTTTGAATTTGGTGCCCTCTTGACCGAGAAAAGACAGAAAATAACTTTAGGGCGCATTTGTATGTAAGACAACAACTCCCACAATGCACCACGTTGCACAGCTCCGCAAGCCACTCCCACTAATCCAGAACAGCGCAAACATCAGAGAAATCACTCTTCCGTCTACAAGAAGGCTAGCTGCTAAATGAGTTTGAAATTCATTTCACAAAAAATGTCTAGTTAGTTGGCTGTGGCGAGCAGGACGAGGGCGAGGGACGTGAGAGGACGACGCGAGTGATAATGAATGGCACCTGTGCAGCGGTCTCATATCTCTCACGGAGGAGCGGAAGCATAAAAGGAACAGGCCTGATTTTATGTTTTGTTTCTGTTGTGTGTGGCCAGCTGGCTTATACTTTTGTTTTGTATTTGTTTATTTTACTATTAAAATGTTTAAATGTTCGCCGGTTCCAGCCTCCTTCTTCCCACAACAACGAACCCCGTTACATTGGCAAACTCATTAGTGAATTACTCGTTTGTATTTCTTTCTATATGGTGAATTATTGCATGATACCTGGATTTTCAGTCAGGCGAAACTAGGATGGTTCACATCACAACACAAACGTCCGTGTGCTCGTCTGATTCAGAGATTTCGTCTAGGAGAAATTGCGATCGTTGAAATTCTCTGCAGCAGACGGACTCTATCTGTGTCCGTAGCGCACAGCGAGAGCACACGCACCAGCAGCCCGCCTCAGCTCGACCCAGTCCGGGCTCCTCGTTCGCGACAGGCAGCCGCCTCCTGATCCTCCATCAGCCTCAGCTGCTCTTCACTATATTGCGGCTCGTAAAGATAGCCACGAAGAGCGGATTCGAGCAGCAGAATTTCAAAATCCTCTACTTCCATATCATGTTTAGTTTCTTCCGTCATTGTCGTAACTTCCTATCTCCACAGCGCTTGTTAGCTTAGCTTATAAACAAGATGGCTGATATTGCTTTCAGTATCTGCAAGTGAAGTCCCACCCACTGATCTGTGATAGCTCTGTTAGCGCATTAGGCACAACCCCCTATGGGCGGGTTTGAAAGGGTGGGAATTTGTGCTTGTAGTCTATACAGAAATCCCCCCTTTTTACACTTCCTCCTACAATGACGTCAAATGACGATTTTTGCGTCATTGTAGGAGGAAGTGAAAAAGGTAAATAGTAGATTTCTCTTGTCTCAGGGGAAAATGAAAGAATGTTGCACGACCATTCAATAGTATGACTGGTTGTCTAACAATGGACCTCTTAATGCAAATGGGTGGAGTGACCCTTTAATGAGACAGTGTTTTGCTGCAATTTATGACCTTTAAAGGCTTTTGGTTCTGCGGGGGAAAAAAGGTTAGATGCTTCAGTAAAATAAGGTTGATTGAAAATGACAACTTGCTCTTTCTTTTTTTATTCAAAAAGAAAAGAAAAAAAGTAGGTCATAGCATTTAAATATTTATTTGGACAGAATTCTAAGCTTCATTTTAGAAATTATTGTTTGGGTTTGATAAGCATATTCCTTGAATAAAATATAATTTCTTTATTGCATTGTCTTGCCACAATGTATACCTGATATTATCTATTTACAGAAACATTTCTTTTCAATACAATACCAATAAAATTACTCTGTTTCCCCTGCAAATAAAATAATAATAATAATAATAATTTGTGCTTGGTATAAAATATGCAGCGTACTGCAATATCTTCAATCAAGTTCGTTATTATATTAGTTACATAATAATATGTACAAAAAATGGTCCATTGGAACTCGTGTCACGTGATCTGATGAGGTGCTTCGAGCATCTCCATTAGGAAAGTGTCTATGGGTGTGTCTCCAATCAGCTTGAAGAAAAATAGGTGCTCCAAACACTTGAGCCCGATGGATCGGAGGGCAGGCAGACGCAACAAAAGTTTAGCAAACCTGTTAAGCAGTGAGAGAAGATAGCAGATAATATTAAGAATGAGCAATAGATATGATCAGTATTTACTGAACAAACATGTGTAGGGCTGTACCTGCCCGGCTGGTCAGGGTATTTGTGTTTAGTGTAGGTCTCCAGTGAGGCGTAAACTTTCTCCCTCAGTGCCTCCACCTCCACTGGGTTGGACAAGCCTTTAGCGTCTATGAGACGAGGCAATTTGCATGCTTTATAATGTCTATCAATATCTCACAAATGTCATTGCATCTAATTTATTAAAGTTCCCATTCACTGTAATCACATGAAAAAAAAAAAGAAGTATTTTTTGAGTTCCACAAAAGAAAAAAAATCACTGGGTTTAGAATAATGACAGAATTATTGTTATATTATTATATTGGGCAAACTATCCCTTTACCCTGAGAATATTATATTATAAAATATAATACAATATTTTATATAATATAATATAATATAATATAATAAAGTTAAAGGGATATTTGACCTAAAATATTATTATATTATGAGTAATATAATATAATTTAATATTTTTACAATTTTGGGTGAAATATCCCTTTAACTTGATTATACTATATTTTATATTGTATTACATTATATTATAGAACTTCAAATTAAATAAAATTATCTATTTTATCTATGCGGCAGACAAGTGTATATAGATGGCAATGAGCAACACACCAGGGTTGAAGAGGACGATGGCTCTAAGGCAGCCTAGTTCTGTCTTATCCATCTGCATATCCTTCATTTTAGACACCAGCTCAGTCAGTACCCTGTCACACACACACACATACACACACAGTAGATGTAATAAAATAAATGCTACAGATTTTCTGATTATTCTCTAAACAAACAAGATCCTCACCTGTTGAAGATGGATCCCACACCTGCACTGTGAGCACTGCTCCTGTGGACGTGAAGACCTGTGCCCAGCAAGATGCCATCCTTAACCGTGATTGAGCGATGAGAGAATGAAGCAATGAGGAGCTCGTTCCATCCTGAAGGAGAAAAATGACACGAATAGCAGGAAAATCATTTCTATATCCCCTTCTGTCTTCATGAACTCAAAACAGTGCTCTTCATTAGCGATGACTATTTTATGAGTGCATGTGACATGTTTGTCCAGCAGAGGTCAGCATTCCCGCTTACACAAACAACACAGTTCTGTCTGACCCTTTGACCTGGACAATTGAAATAAAATCAAATGTAAATATTAGATGAATAACCTGAACTTAAAATACAAAAATTAAAACTACTACATTTGCAACTAAAAGTTGAAGTTGAAGTACTAAAATGACTAAAAATTAAATAAAAATGATAGCTATATAGAAATATATAAAAAATGATATAAGCACACAACAAAAATACTAAAACTAAAATGAAAACTGATAATATAAAAAATAA